TGCTAGATCTTTGTCCTCACCTCTTTTTGTGCAAATTGGGACTTTCCACTTCAACTTTCCAAGCAAGTGGTACTTGTGGTTACAGCCTCAAAGCTAGAACTCTCACCTACCCAAACCTGCTCCCAGAAGCCATTGCACTGTGAATCGATACTTGTTAGAAAATTTTGTAGTTGTGGTAAACTGACGCCAGCCTTTAGACAGTCACAACCTGTGCAGTGCTATTACCTAATGGTATGCCATGTGCAGCCTAGAACTGACACCTAAAACTGCTGCCTGAAGTCCTATAATGCTATGCAAAATCACCTGAAAGGCAAAACCAAACCCTACCAAGGCACACATATTACAAGACCAGAAATTCATAGAACTTGCTTCATTACCCTGCAGTAGAGTATTGAAAGAAGTCCTAGATGAGAAACTCTGGGTGCATATTTTGTTTCTTGACATATATATAAACTGACTAACCTATCTTGCAAGGAAAGAGGAAACAGGATAACACAATATGGCCAGTGTCGGGAAATGGCACTGGTTTCTTCTAGGGAAATAGCAGTATTACTCACTGTATATCTCCTAAATCAGGCTGAACCCTCCTCTTACATTTCTGCTTGGTTTGCTTGCTGGGGTGAGAATTAAGCCCCCCCCCCCCCCGCTACACAGGCACTAATGGTTCATGCTTGAACAAACAGCAAACATGCAAAACTTACTGCCCTGTACCTGCACTCAGAATTCTGTTTTTCATACAAATTGTGCTGCCAAAACCAAATGAAGAGGCAAGGAGAACAAACGCCTCAATTTCAGAGAATAGCTGAGGAGTGTGAAAAGCTGCTCTTCCAACAAAATTGCAAAAGCAAATGCTTTGGCACACTGGCATACCCTCCCCTGTATTATATGACTTACAAGGATTTATGCAAGTGGGTGCATTGGAATGTTCCTGGAACACAGTGCATGGCTACAAAAAGGTGCAGCGGTTCATGCTCAGCCTGAAATTAGCAGAGACCCTCATTGATTAAAAACAGGCACACAACTTGGGTACCCATCCATGCACATCTGTTCATTGGGAATTTCTCCCTCCCCAGATCTGCTCCAGAGGGTTTGGGAACCCATAGAACAGATTTAGGGCACACATGGGGGGAAGAGAGGAGGAGAAAATGTTTCATTGTGCAAAGATAAATTATTGTGCTGAGAGACAATGAATTGCAGTGTTAATGTTCACTGCCTATTTAGGTTGGTGCAAAATATGATCCCATTTACAGCTGTGCCAGTTGTATTGTTCTCCTCTCACTAAAAATGTAAACAAAAGCAGGAAATCCATTTTTATTGTTTCCGTAGATGTATATTAATAAGATAAGCATAGACAGTTGCGGTGTTTGAATGCTAGACTTTTGTGTGTGTTTTTTTTGTTTTGTTTTTTAAGGTGTCAAATTAACTGGGTATATGAGGATGCCTTCGGAAACAACGCTCACCTGGAGACAATCATCTTGACTGGAAACAATCTTCTGTTTCTGGCAGACAGAGCATTCTCTGGACCTCACTCTCTGAAACACCTTGACCTGACCCAAACAGGACTCAGTAGTTTATCATCCATCCCAATGCAGGGCCTGGGTAACTTGGAGACACTGATACTAAAAGACAACTACATCCAATCACTAGAGCTCCCATCACATTTTCCAACGAGGAACCTCAAATATTTGGATTTTCAGATGAACATAATACAAAGAATATCAGCTGAAGACATAAGGGTATTAAAGCGAGTCAGCAATCTGACTCTCATTCTTGCAGACAACGATATTATGCACATTGAGACCAAGGCTTTCAGTTCCATTTTTTTCTATACTTTGGATTTTGGTCGTTGTGTTAATGTTTCGGTGATCCTGGAAGGGCTGCAGGATGCCAGTACTGTTGCTCTTCGACTTGGGAATTCTTTGGATAGAGATGCCCTTCCCATAACTCCCACCATGTTGCAGGGTATCTGCAACATCTCTGTTGACTACCTCTATCTGCCGTATCGCCATTTCCTATACTTCTCAGCTGACACATTCCAGTGTTTGGCCAAACTCCAAAAGTTGGACATGGCCCACACAGACATCGGCGAACTACCCACTGGCCTGGTTCAGTTGAATTTCCTGAGGGAACTCAATCTCGACAAGAATAAATTTGAGCACCTTTGCAATATCAGGGCTTCTGCTTTCCCCAACCTCACCCATATTTCTCTCAGAGGGAATCTGAAAGGCTTGGATTTGGGATCTGGGTGCCTAGGGTCTTTGTCGAAACTGCAACACCTTGACTTCAGCAGATCTCAAATAGAAAGCGCCGACTGCTGCAGCAAGCCGCTCCGTGGCCTGAGCAGCTTGCAACACCTCAACCTGAGCTACAATAGCAAGCTCAGGTTCCACAATGCAGCGTTCAATGAAACCATTAACCTGAAGGTTCTGGACCTCACTTCCACACAGATTCTCATCAACGCTTCTCAAGGACCCTTCTGCAACCTGCATTTTTTGCAGATTCTGAACCTTTCTTACTCTAAAATTGATCTCAATATCCCGCACATTTTACAAGGTTTGGAGAATCTTATTGTCTTGAAGCTGAATGGAAATAACTTCGAATCCAAGACCATCCTGGAAGACAACCTCTTTCAGCAGGCACCCAATTTGGAAGTGTTAACGTTATCTTCCTGCAAATTGTCGGCTATACAAACCAAGGCATTTTCTAGCCTCAAGAAGTTAAAACACATGGACTTGAGCCACAACAATCTTATTGCATTCAGTTCAGATGCATTTTCCAGCCTCAGAAACATATATCTCAATTTTGCCAACAATAGGATCCATATTATCCCACGTGATATGTTGACTAACCTATCTGGCCAGAGTGTAATCAATTTAAGTTACAATCCACTGGAATGCACCTGTTCCAATATTGGATTATTAACTTGGTACAAGCAAAACATAGATAAAATTGAAGACTCTGAAGAGACAGTGTGCTCAGAGCCCAAATCACTAGCGGGCTCTAAGCTCCTCTCTATAAATCTGTCCTGTGGGTTTAGCACTGCTCAAGTAGTATTGATTGCCTTTGTTACGATAGCAGTAATTGTAGTGACCTTCATTTTGATCATACGTTTTTTAAGGAGAAACTACCAACAGCTTTGAGTTCCTGGAGAAAGAAAAGATACAGAAGAGTAACAAAAGCCAACAAATTAGTAGGAAGATGCTTATAAGGGAATTTCACTTTCTAATACTAATTTTTGTTCCAGTTGTTGTTGACTGTACAGGCAGTCCTCGTTTTGCATGGGGGTTCCATTCTGAACCCATGCAATCAAAAGCCCACTCTGCTCCACCCCCAACCCCTTTTCATGACATCTTTATGACGTTTTGGGGCTGTTTTCAGGTTTGGTGCAGTGTGCATGTGTGTGATCGCGCATCATTCAGGTGCACCTAAATCATGAGTTGCCTGTACTGCATTTGGTCAACTTGTTTTTGACATGAGATAACATGGCAAAGGAAATCACTGCAAGGTATGGAAATAAGAGAAAGCCAGAATTTACTGTTTGGTCTTGCATTTTCCAGGTAGAATTCATTCTCAGTGCCATATAGGAGGCTAAAATTGACCACCTCACAGTGCACCAGGTCAGGGTAAGGTTGACAGTATCTTAACCTGAAAAATGTAAGGCAGTTGTTTTCTCCTAGGTGGTCATTTTACACTTGGCAAGGAAGACTCCTGGACAAGAAAAAGCTTGAAAGTACTCAGAAGTACTTAGCCAAGGCTTCCATATTTGGAATAAAAATGCCACAATAATAAACAGCAAGGCAGTTCTCTTTTTCATTACTGTTTGTTTAATGTTTTCTCACAGGGGTTAAAGAGGGTAAATATTACACACACAAATAAGGGCTAAACTGGATGTGGTGTGGCAGCCATATGTATTTTATTCCAGGACCTACCTAGATCCATCTATTTATTTGCTGCACAAAGGGAGTTAAAGCCTCCCCATTTTACCCTGCCGAGTAGGGCCAGTACAAGAGATGGTTGTACTTGAGTTGCCACTCCATCACTCTTCCTCCCCTCCCCTGCTGGCGGTAGGGCCTCTCATGGACCTCTTTTTCTCTCTTCTTCCATTCTCTCCCCCCCCCCCGCTTTGTTGCTGCTTTAGTAGAGGCCATGTTGAGTCTCTGTCTCCTCCTGCCCTGCCCTCCACCTCTCACATCCACAGTCCTTTGTCCGATAGAGGAATTCAGTCTGCAGTCCTGCATTATCCCAGTTTGCTGTGGTTGCTATTTCATTCTTCTATATTTAGGCATACTGTGGGGGCACCACAGCAAACCGCAGCAGTTCACCCCCCACCCCCTTGAGGGTTCAAGAATGGTTCATGAGGGCAGAGCAAAACAAGTGTCCTGATATTAAGCATTCTAGCCGATTATACACATACTACTTTGTGTTTCAACTAAACGTTACTTCAAGCACGTAATAGGAAAGGAAACTCAGAAATGTCAAAACAATAGTGGCAATTTTTATATAGCCGAAACCATCACCTGGCATCCAAACAGGGGGGGAAACCACTTTTTGTGGCCCCTTGTCACTATGTTATTTGGTCATTTATACCCTTTTCACACAAAGAAGGGGACTGTGGGGTTTCACTGCTAGCCTTGCCCCGAGGTTGTGCAGTTAGGTGTGGCTGTCTACAGGGAAAAGTCTCTGTGTGACCACTTCTACATGCACCAGTTTCCCCAAGTGTTCTGGAACCCAGAAAGTGTGGAAAGCCCATGCACGTATGCTTTCCCCTGCTTAATGTGTGAACGGGGGGGGGGGGGGCTGGGACCCAGGGGGCTGTTGCCCAATAGCAGCCTCTGGCTATCTGCAATGTCCTCTTATGCAATTCACATGAGAAGGGAATATGTTTTATCAGTGGAACAAAAGGCTATGCTGTATGGACTCCTCCTTTCTTTTCTGCTTGTGCATTTATAGACCTATATTTGGTGAAAATTCAAGGAAGCCAGTTCAAGAAACAGACTCAATTCCCTTTCATGCTCAGTTTTATTTTAATGTTCTTCATAAGTATAAATACTTTTATTCAATACCCAAAGGTTAGGTCATCCATGTGGATTTCTTAAAGAAAATAAGACTGCAAACACTTTATTGCACAGATCCTAACTTTTTTTTTTTAATAATTTGATAATCTACAGTAGGAAGAACTACAAAGGGTCATTCTAATATACAACCAACACATAGACTGACAAAAGAGTACACACTAAAGAGGATCTCTAACAGTTCACTGTAAGGTAAACATCAAGAACAAGGAAACTACATGAATGCAAGCTTAGGTGCCACTACATTTCTAAAATAGGCGGGAAGTATTTGGCAGAAGTGATAAAGCACTATACAAAATATACATAAAAAGATACATTTGTAAACAAGAGGTGTGCTTTAAGGGAAACAAGTGGAAGGTTTTTTTAACTTGCAAGCAAATGTAAACTATGGGATAACTCCCAGATAGAAATGTCATGATTTTGGAGTGCATTAGTGTTTAATTATTTCAACCCCCAAAGCACAGATATAGGCTATAAATGCTAGAACCACTCACTTCAAAATGTTTTCCCCCAGTTGATTTTAATAATTCATGAGCACATGGAAAGAAAAAGAATATTCCATCACTGTATGGAAAATTACAGGGACTTGCTGGTAATTTTATTTTCTTAACAAGGATTTCAAAAATGAACAAAATCCCAATTGGTTTACTCATTTTTCTCAGGAAAATGCATTTAGCATACTTGTAAATACCTTACAAGCAGCCAATTCATAATTGGGTTATGCTTGGGTAAATATAGCTAGGGAAATGGTGTGCGGGGAGCGGGGGAAATGCCCTGAAGGAGGGTCAGCATTAAATGAGCTTTTGCAAGGAAATATAGAAGAAAAAAAGCACAATTGTTTTGTGGATCCCAGTCGTTTTAGCATACTTATCTGTGATAATCTTTCTGGAGTGTTGCTGTACATGTTTCCAAAAAACCAAATACTTTCCCTCCAAATTTAATCAGACAAATTCGACATATTCCACTATACACAAAATTCACATAAGGCTTAGCAAAAAGTAAAAAGAACACCAACATTCTAGCACCAAAAAGCTCCAACAGCCCCCAGTTTTTCTACAAAAGAATGCCTTTTCATTAAAAAAAATACATTTACTTCTTTTGCATACAAATAAAGATCACAATATGAAATGTATAGAGCTACTTAATGTACTTCAAGAAGAATGTTAAACCTAGGATGACTTGCTAAAAACAGCAAGATTAATCTACAACATAAGGCCCCAGCTAGGTATTAAAATGTTATCAGGTGTTTGATATATCATCTAGATACAATGCTGAAAAACGCCTCCACCACTTTTGTCATAAAATAGAAAAGAAAGCTGAACTGCTAAATGCTCAAATCTTCCTATCATGACAAAGATGATTCATTTGTGTACATGAAAATTGTTTCAACACTTTATGCCATGCACATCTGTATGTTCTTCATACCAGAAAGGCCTGGACAGAAACAAATGTGAGCTGAATCAAGGCAGCAGGAAAGGTATTTTAGTCTAAAGCCCAGGATGAGATGAAAGAACACAGGGCAATTTCATATTACCAGAAAACTATATTGTGAATGGGATGGTGTACCCATGATAATGGAGACTTCTCTTTCCCAATCATGCACATAGTCTACACAAGAGGCAGAAATTGTGTACTGAAGAGCTCCAGTTTTAACTGGCAAAGTTAGCTCACTACAATAATACCAACCTTGCTGCTCTTAAATACAATTCTAAATTCACTGAAAGTCATTAGATTTATCACTTCTTCTATTTTAGAGTTGTGCACAGCTTTTTGAACAAGGAAAGAATGGAGCATCTTTCTTCTCCCTTCAGACCAATATATATTTGTGGGTTCCGTCTAGCCCCAAGTTTTAGTAATTCTGCTTCTTCTTAAATTATGGCAAACTAGTGGCAAAGCAACTATCATTAAAAAGATACAGTAAACAATGCAATCAGCAGCAAAGTAGAGACACTACATTCTAAACGATACACACTAGTAAGTATTTACAGATAATTTGTCATCCCACCCCGCCCACAACCTGTCTCTCAAATTGTAAAAGTATTTTTGTACAAATACAATATGGTAACAGTTTAACCGGTTACATTTGGGAAGGAATTTTGAGGGGGGAAGGAAACGAGTCCTTTCTTTACACACCCTGCTTAAGTGGCGCTGAATATTTTTTTTCTGCAAGAAAATACTACACAGTGCTGAAGGTAAGACAAGACACTAGGTTTTCAGTCCTATTTGCACGTCTTGCTATTGGGAGGGTTTTTTGTGAGGGCTGCTTCGGGAGGTGTCTTTTCCTCGCCTCGGCCGGGCAGAGTCTTTGTCGGCTGAAAGTGCATTGGGAGAGTCAGCTGGAGTCCCTGACTTTGGTAAATCTTTACCTACATTCGGTTTTCTCGCGGCAGAAGACTGAGGCAGACCGGGGTCTTTCCCCTTCATATCCACAGCAGAGTGAGACCTCTCTTGGCTTTTGTGCTTCCCCGCCAAGTCTGAAGTGGGAATGTTCTCTTCCGCAGGGGACGGAGTATAGTGCAAGCCCAACAGGGAAACACTTTTAGTCATTTCTGCCCTGCCGTCCGCTGAGGAAGAGCTGGCTTGCTTTTTCACTTCCCTGCTGCTCAGTGCAAGTGGCTCGGGGGACCCCAGGCTAGCCTTTGCTGAAGGCAGAACAGGGGCTTCCGGCCTAGATTCAGGGAAGCTGGGTGGGCACTCAAGCTGCTTTGAAGCTGCGCGACATGAACTCTGCAAAGCCGGGGTGGAGGAATGTTTTGCAGCATGCTGCTTGCTCCCCTCGGATAACTGCTTTTGATTCATGTGCCCTTTCCCTTTAGTGTCTTGAAAGTTCTTCGCACCCGTGACTGCCTTTTCCACTGCTTTTCCTCTGGCATCACAGCTAAGAAGGGAAAGGTTAGGATCTGGCTTCCCATGGTCAGTTTGGAAATAAAGTGCATCGGTGCATTTCCCCCCTTCAGGTTGCATTTCTGCAGAGGTGGCCTGAATGTTCAGGCTCTTGTCGGCCGGTTTGCTCAAAGGGGAGCCCTCTTTTACAGCTGACGATGTCTTGGGAGGCGTGTTCTGCTTGGTGCGCATACTGAATGGCTTTTGATCAACAGGGTCGTTTAAACTTGCCATCTCTTGCCTCTGAAAATGCTTAGCGCCATCTGGGGCTGCTGCCGCCGCCTGCTTTTTATTGGAGGATTTAAGCTGTTTTTCAGGCAAGGTGCTATTGATGTGGATTGAGGGTTCTGACCCACATTCTATGACCAGATGCCTTTCTGCCTGCATTTGCTCATTATTTAGCTTTCTCCGAGAGCTTGGAGGGTGTGAAAAAGAATCCAGTGCAGACTTATTGATGTTTTTCCCCTCCTTCACAGAGCTGGCCAAAGCATGAGAGCCAGTTTCTTTTTCTTTTACATTTGTAGCTATTTGCTTTTGTGTCTGTTTTTCAGAATGTTTCAATTTCGAGAAACAAGTGTCAGGAACTGGTCTAGATTTAACAGTGCTATTTTCCATGTATGTTGCAGGTCTCATATTATCTTTAATGCTGCAGCAACCAGGAGCATCCACTACACAGGGCCTGTTTAATAATTCTTTTGCAGCGGGAAGATCAGAATTGCTACCTTGTTGCCTAGAAGCAATGCTGGCCTCTTTGTTACCAGCTGGAGGCTCCGCATTTTTGGGCTGCTTCTGTTCTTTTCCCCCCTGGTCCGTTTGCACGGTTGCACCAGCCAGAAGTGATGCTTCAGGCTTGGAACATCCACTTGCTTTCTGCAGGCCCAACTCATTTGCTGAATAGTCTCTAGTGGTGTTATCATCCTCTTTCACCAATGGCTTGAGCACATCTTTGAACTTTGTTTTCGAGCTTGCTATTTGTACTTTTGCTATTCCACGTATTTGCTGCTGAGCAGCTGAATCAAAGGAATACCTCTGAATGCGTTTTGCATCCTGATTCGGTGACACGTCTGTAACAGATTTCTTTGATGGAGAAACCTCAACTGCCTTAGGCTTCTCTGGAAGGATGCTCTCACTTGGTTGAGGCCTTGTGTGGTTGTCTGGTCCTTCTTTGTAGGTTTTCTTCTCCTTCCGTTTGGCTTTCTCGGGATTTCCCTGTGCATGGGCAGATTTGCAACTTGTCAAGGTGGAACTCTGGTTTTGGGAACTGCTGGATTTAGCCTCATGTGCTGAAAGCTGAATAACCTCTTTCTTTTGATTAACCACCTTTAGAGAGGGGTCACATTTAGCACTGAAATTGGAAAGTGTCTTTTCTGACTGCTGTTCAGTGGTCACAGGCATTGCTGGTGAGCTCTGAGTACTTTTATTTGGCTTTGGAGACTGGAACTTTAGCAGATTAGATTCATAAGGAGTGGACTGTTGAAAGGCTGGTGGCTGCACTTTCTGACAAGACGGCTCAACCTTTACACTGATGCCTCCTTGGCAGATGAGTGGTTGGCCATCGTTTTTGGCATTTTGGCCCCCTGCAACTGCACATGAAGACACTTCTGTCTTTGAAGATTGTGGCCCAGAAATTAAAGCAATATCTAAGGTTCCTTCAATTGGCTTCAAGCAAGACACAGACCTCCCTTCTAACTTATATTCTGAAGGACTCTTTCGGACAGGTGACTCTGTGGAAATCAAGGCTGATTTCTCCACACCAGCTTCTGTTCGGCCAGTCAATCCTTTGAGAGGAATGAAAGGAACGGAGTTAATCTGAGTGGCATGAGGACTGCTAATAAATGATCGGCTTTCAGTCACCGAGGTGGAATCTTGCAGCATGTTTATAGGTCTGACTGCACTCAGCTGATGGCATTCATGTACACTTGGTGTCAGTTTGGACTTTAGCACTGGACAGGAGTTGTCATCTTTTTCTTCAAAGGACATTTTCTTCCGGAGATAATCAATATTTGCAAGCTTACTATCTAATCTTTCAAATTTGACAGGTTCTTTTGTCGGTGCAGTTTTATCTACATTTTCTCCTTTCCCATTCGGCATCTTGTCAGATGAGTGAGGCAGAACATTTTGCAATGTACATGGAGGGGGGATTCTTTTGAAGTCATAAGACAAATGACTGAGCTCATTAAGCGGAGGCCCATGACATGGTGTGTGCGCATCCAAAGCAGTACAATCATTTGATCTCATGCTTGCATTCTTCTGAAGGGTGTCTTTTAGCATGCCACCTACTGACTCTGTCTCCAGAGCTGCAATTTTAGCTTCAAAGTGGTTTGATCTTTCCAAAGCTTTCTGAAATGCTTTTTTGCCATCTCTCTCTTCTAAGCATGAGGCAACTGGGTTTTCTGATTCACCACAAATTTCATGTACGGTGCTTGCTTTCTGCAAATATTCCTGTTTCTCTGCCAGATCTTGCTTCTTCACAACTATCTTAACCTTTAATTTTTCTTTATCCAGCTCATCAACAGATTCTTGCCTGCCCAACTTCCTGGAAATGGGACGTTTCAGGCAGCCTTGTTCAGCAGGTCTCACTCGTGTGAGTGATGGCACATCAGAAACATTCTCCTCCAGGCTCTGGAGGGTTGTATCCCGTTGAGATACCTCTCTATTAACTTCTTCCTGAGTTACTTCCAGGCTGTGCTTGCGAGAGCACAAGTGTTTCTTGTCAGTGCCATAAGAAGGGGCAAGTTTCTCTTCTGACTGAACCCTCTTGAGCAAAGGAGACCTTGGTGGTTCTGCACTCTTAGGCCTCACTATGTGTCTGACAATAGTGGGAGGAGAGTGCATTTTTGAAGGGAAAGCCTGAGCTATTTTTGTGTTTCCAATTGAATGCCCCAGTAAAGGTGATGGAGACCGCTGAGGAGATGTTGGTTGAGGTGTTGGAGAAGGCGTCCGTGCCAAAGGAGAGAGAGGAATGCTACCAGCTGATTTGCGTCTTCCTGACCTGTATCTTTGCCCACCGAGCTTGGGCCCCAAACCATGAAGTGTGCTGGGCCTAATATGCCCAGAACCAGCTGGAGAATTGGGTGCACTTGAACTTGGAGAGCTACTCTGAGAAGAATTTGTACCTGGAAGAGAAACAAATAGAACTGCACTAGAACCTTCAACCAGTGCTTGTCAATAAGCTATAAAAGATGTTGTTTCTATACAGACAAGAAGAAAATAAAAATCAAACCCAATATGGCTTGAAAATTACTGGCTTTCAAAGGTCAAATCTCTATAGCTTTTTCATACTCCTTGCCTGCATTTCCCCTTGAAGTTTAAATTAACTGAACTTGGCCTGCTTTCTGAATTTTCTAAGAGGACTCTGCTATATGGTCTAATACTAGCCGCCTGAGCTGATATGAATATAGAGTGAACACAAGCCACTCTCTCTATATGGCTGAATAATATAAGCAGCTCTTTCAGAAACTTTTAATAGTGTGATTAGCTGGGGTTTTGGACTACTGAGGGAGAGCATCAACCCAGAGGCCATCTGAAACATGCTCTGGGAAGTGAAGCAAAAAAAGAAATACAGAATAGATGACATAATGAAAACTGCACTGCAGCAATATTTGCTGGCTTAAGAATTTTTAAAATATTTTTCCTCTAGTTCAAGAATTCACAGGAATTCTCAGAGTTGGTTGTTTTGTTTCGGCCTTTTTCTTTTGGAAGAAAAGAAGTGGCTGTGAAAGCCTGCTCGTGTGTGAGCATCTGAGTGCAGCCATAGGTGGCTCTTGGGTTTCATTAGATAATCCCGCTTTCCTTTCATTGGGTATCTATTGTCAGGCATCAGAGGAACCAACCTTAACGGCAGCTTGCCAGGAACAGATAAGGCAAGGAAAAGTCCTTACCATCTGCTTTTTATTCAATATTTACAGAGAGAGGCTTGGGAATGCAGCCTCTTGGAATAATGGCGTTGTCCTGAGTGAGTCTCCACCCCTTCCCTCTCTCTCGTGCGCCATCGCTACAGGTGCTGAAAAGTGCCCTCTGCCTTTGAGCTCTTTGCTCTCCTACTTTCAATGCTCGCCGGGTTCTGGTAAGGGGGGTTCTGAAATGCTTTCTAAAGACACTGTCTCTGTCAGCTGTCGTCCCCCCTAGTGCTTCTTCTTCCTCCCTCTCCTCACCCATTATTTCCCAGCTTTCCCCCTCATCTGTCTCTGAGCTGTATTTTCCCTCAAACCCCTGTTGTTATTCTGAGCTGTCTTCTTCTTCTCTGGAAGGGTCAGGCTGGGGAGGCAGTCTCCACCATTCCTCCTCTGCCAAGTCCCTGACATCCATACTCACCTGAGGGGAAATCGGGGGTGGAGCGGAGGCTGGGTGTTGGTGAGCGGGGAGACAAGCTGTGAGTTGGAGAACCAGGTAAGCTCTCCCCTGATGAGAGAGATCGGTTCAGGCAGGAGAAACTCCGACTAGTATGAAGGAGGGGCGAAGGCTGCTTAGCCAGCTTTTTGAAGAGAGATCTTCTCCTAATGTGAAGACAAGAGCTCTTCTGTAAAACACGCTCCCAACAACACGGCAAAAGCAGGCTGTCATAGTACCATCTCAGTGATAACAACATTTCATTTACCCACAAGGAGTGAAAAAACATGATACGACTACCAAGGTTTTAGGCAACACTGCAGCCAAAGTTTTAGAACCGCAGTTGCGTAAACTCTACAAACTCAGATCTTGTGGTATTAGAAATGTGGAATAGAGCTCTGATTTGTACCATGTGGCTTTTAATGCAAAAATTATTTATTTAAATAATAAATTGAAAGAAAAGAAAAAAAGTTGTCACTGTTGCAGGTGACAACAGAATTTAAAAATAAACCTAACCCCCAAATTTTAAGTTCTGAAAAACTCATCACAGTTTAATTTCATTTATGAATCACTTCCTATGAAATATCTCAGTGCAGTTTCACAATACAAACAGAACAATGTACAATTGTAAGGTTCTAATTAGAGGCGGTGTCATGTTCTCTGGCCACAACCCCACCTTCATGCCACAGGAGCCACTGGTTACGGAACAGGACTTTACATCGGGGTTGAGAACCTTTTTGACTCTGTGGGCCGGGTCCTTATCTGGCTCCACCCTATGGGTCAACTTTGAGGTGGTGGACAGGACAACCCATGTGACATGTCATTCACACGACATAATTATAATGTCTGAAAAATTATGCATCTTTCTTCTTGTTTTGACTGATCTATCCATATAATTTAAGGGAATGTATGGTTAGTTTGCTTTTGTAATTTATTGATCTCTTAAATTAAAAAAGCATCCCTTGTGCAGTGATTCCCACCTGACAACTAGCTAGCTGTTGGGTGCTTGGGAACCACTGTGCAAAGTGGTAAAAAGGGTTTTCAGCCAAAGGGCTGTCAGGTAGGGAGTGCTGCACAGAAGAGATGCTTTCTGTTGGCATTGGCTACCTGAGCAAGTTCCCTGCAGGCATTGGCTATACTGCCTACCAGCTGGTGGGTGGGAGACCCAAAGGCTGCTTTCTCTTGCCAGTACACAGTTGAGAAGCATACTTTAAGGCTCCCAGTTGTGTACTGACATCAGGTTTGGGACAGGTAGAGAGGAGTGCTATAGGGAAAGTGCCACATGAGATGAATGGCAGGCCAAGCTTGGCCCACTGGCTGGAGGATGCCCACCCTGCTTTGAATGAACAGACAGCTTCTCAAGGGGAAAGGCACTAAGAGGAGGTATCTTGCTAATAAGACTTCAGGATGCTGCTGAGACAACAGGAGTTCTAGTCAACACTTGGAACAGGTAACTCTTCAGAATCCTGAGCAGTTTTGCCTTGCCCTCTCTTGGAACTGGCAGCACCAACCTGGACTGAACTACTGGGTTTGACTTACTACTAAACTTGATTGGACCACTGGACTTGCCTTCATATTTGAGATGAAATGACCGCTTACCCTATTCTGTGTGAGTGGCGACTGCAGTCCCTTGCGGGTCTGCCACTATCGTCGGGCAGTCAGGGGCCAGGTAGCTGTTAAAATCCACCCTGGATGGCTGCATGGCAAGGCAAGGCAGGACTGCCTGCCAAAACCCCAGTTTTGAATCAGCCAATCAGGGGTCCCCAAGCAGGCAGATCCTTGCCGGTGGACCCTGAGCCAGAAGTTTCCATGCCAGTCCACCAGCGATGCATAAAAGCCAACTGCACCGGGCACATCCAGCACAGTTGGCAAACCCTCCCTCCCTCTTATGCTACTGTAATTTTCTTGTTTTGCATTCTAGGCCACTTGGTGTTGCCATCAATTTAACCATATTTTGCTTTCTTGGTTGCTTGCCTTTTGTATTACCTGACCTTGCTATGGTTACCAATGGTTGCCATATTCAGAGCCAGGATGGAATTTGCCTGCCAACAGATTAGCCTCGTTTGCAAGTTTTGCCTCACCCGCAGCAAAAACTTTCAGCAGTTAAGGCATTGGGTGGAATACTACTCATCAAGATTTAGGGTGAATTGATGCACCACCTGGATCCGAACCAGTGGCATATTCCAGGAACCCCGTTAGAGGGGTCTTGCTGGGAATCTCTGTCCAGAAGCCAAGTGTGGGGCAGACAGGCCATAGAGTTTCCAGAGGCAGCCTTAGGATGGCCTTCACAGTAGACTGGCGTCTTGCGGAGGCCATAATCCTTGGTGCAACCCTGAAAAGTTTCAGCCCCCTGGCAGGATGCTGAAGTGGATATACACACAATGCCAGAGCCAAAATCCACCTACATCCGGAATCAATAAAATTGCAGAATGTTGTCTGCTTGAGTTTGTTCATTATACACTAGCTGTAGCCATGCAACGGGAGGGGTGGTGGTGCGACTGGTACCACAACACCTCCCTCTTAATAGCAAAGAAAACAAACTTCAATTTATTCTGTATTAAGCAACCACAACTTACCTTTCCAAACTCTCCTTCTTTTTCGTTTTCTTACTCCGTCTAACCATTCGGCCCCTATAGCTATTTCTTCTAGCTGGTCCTGTTTTTATTGAAGTATTCTCAAAGGCTGTTGTAGTAATTGACACTTTATTGCCACTCTGTCAAGTAAGAATTTTCAAGGCGTAAGTTGTTACTGAACCATATTCTTCCAAACAGAACAGCAGATCAGGAGATGTGCACCATTACATAGTCAGGAAGAAAGTTTCCTCTTACATCAATACCACCAGCAATCATTGATCTTTACTGGTCCCACCTACCCGAGTCATCCTCTTATTATACCAGTCCTTGCTTACGGGGCTTTTGGAGGGAACATTTTCATCACCCCTCCACTTTGACAGCACCATGTTATAATCTGGATGATGTGGTAATATATAGTGGAGTTCATAGGTGGAAGAATACGTCATAGGTCAGCAAGCTAACTACTACTGCTTATTAATACAGCACTGAGCCCGTGATTTCACTGAGCTAGGCAATTCCAAGTCCAGATCTGTAGAGTGAGCAATTCTTCTTTCTGCTGTTATCTTCCACTTAAGTTTTACATTACAAGTGAAGTCAGCTGTAGAACTCTAAGAGATCAAGAGGGGAACTGAAAAATGGTGGCCAAGATCCAAACAACTGCACAACCAGTAACAGACAACAAAGGGAGCTTTGAACTTGTACAGCAGTCCCACAAATCTCTTTTGAAACTGAGGGGGCTGGTGGTGGTAGTGAGGATCTGCTCTTCAAAGAGAAAAAGTCAAATTCCACTGGGCATGGCCAAGATCTTTGTATTTTTCAAACATGCTCAACTGTTTATAATTTAGCATTTTGTTTTAGGAGGAAAGCAGTGCATGTCTTCTTCATGGACCAATCAAGCTCAAAAGGACTGAATCCTGCGATTGTGTCATTGAATGGCTACTGGCTGAAAACATTTGGCTTCAGCAGAACTCTGGCTCCAATGTCAGATGCACCACTGCGGACATGCATTGAGCTCTGTACAATTTTGCTTTCAAAGTGCTACCAGAACTGCTCAATTACATCCATGAGGTGGCAGGGTTGTATAGTTCATTTGATAATGAGAGGCCAAAATTGCTTGCATTCACCCCTGAGCTATATGCCACTTTTTAAATGAGTCAAATCAGGGTCCATTGAACAGTATAGTCTGGTTTTGTGGCTTGAGTTTCAATTGTTACAATTTAAAGATGTGGATTCACTTGTGAGCTTGATTTTTCAGGGCTTACCACATTTACCAGGGAGGCACTGTTCAAGCTGAGTTTAAAGGTAAAGGGACCCCTGAGCATAAGTCCACTTGCGGACAACTCTAGGGTTGCGCACTCATCTCATTTTACCAGCCGAGGGAGCCGGCGTTTGTCCGCAGACAGCTTCCGGGTCATGTGGCCAGCATGACTAAGCTGCTTCTGGCGAACCAGAGCAGTGCACGGAAACACCATTTACCTTCCCACTGGAGTGGTACCTATTTATCTACTTGCACTTTGACGTGCTTTTGAACTGCTAGGTGGGCAGGAGCAGGGACCGAGCGACGGGAGCTCACCCTGTCGCAGGGATTTGAATCGCCAACCTTCAGATCAGCAAGCCCTAGGCTCAGTGGTTTAGACCACAGTGCAACCCGCGTCCCTTCAAGCTGAGTTTAGGAGGTTATAAATGCTTTGTTAGCAAAGAATGTAGTTCTAGCCACCTTGAAGGAAGTGGTTGTAAGACCACTTCTGAAATAAGTCTCCTTGGACCGCAAAAGATTTTATCAACACCTGGCTGGTTTCTAATGTTAGGCAAAGTGCTGGAACAAGTGGTTCTGGGTCACCTCCAAGCACAGTCAAATCAAACTGATGATCTAGATCCATGTCAATCTGGATTCTAGCCCAAATCTGGAAGTGAAACTGCTTTGCTTGCCTTGATGGATGACCAGTACAAAGAAACTGACAGAAGGAAAGCAAGTGTATATTATATATGAAGAACCCTGCCTATAAGCTTAGAATCCAAGCAGTGGCAGACCCAAATATGCTGATGTGCTTTCTGGGTAATATAGACTAGACACTAGTAAGACAGCAGGACATATTCACTTATTTGGAGAACAGAGAGTTAAAATTAAAATCTCACTCCCATGTGGGTAGGGGGGGAGAGAGAGAATTAGTCGCATGCTCAAGTATGTATGTAGGCCCGTTCTCTTTCACCACCTGCTGGATTGATGCTGCATCTGAGTAATCTATTTGCTGCAAGCAACTAAGACAATTACTGAAAAGAATGGCTATCAGAGTTGTACATGGTGACACAACTGGAGAGGCCAGGTCCTCATACTACCCTTTAAAATAATAATTAAAAAACCCTCAGTGAATTTGTTGCAGCATGCCTTGAATCACCTAGCCTTTCTAAATGACAAAAACAGAGTTATATACAGGGTGCACTTGATAGAAACATGGAAAGGACTAGAGTGCAATTGAAAGGGCCAGCTGCTGAACACCCGCTTTAATACAGCAGTGACATTTGTTAGCCGTTATCAGAAAGACTGAATGAGGATGAAATAGGATTACACAGTTCAGAGGATTGATAATTGCAAGAAGTGCTTCATTTTATATCATTACACTTGTGCTATTTTTCTATTCATTGACTTGGGAATGCATCTTCACCTACACTGCATGTCCCGTCTCTGTGTGGGGAGCATTCAGGCTTCAGCTTTATTATGTTTAAGTGGTTCTATTAATCCGTAGGCTTTTAGCAATTTTCCACTTGACTAGCCAAATATATGTGGTTCAAAACCACCACCAAAGGAGGGTTGTGATAACTGAGTTATTTATAGGTTCTAAGAGCTCCTCTAGCTTCAAATAAGAGATGAATATGAAAGACATACCAAATATTGCAGTGGAATTATTTGATGCCTTTATGCTCCATTTAAAATTACAGCCAGCTAACACAAAAATATGTTTATAAATTACTTAAATGCTAGGTTGCCTTAAATTTAGATTCATGATTTTAAGTGCCAAATGGGCAGCGCTGGGATATATGATATGATAAGGTTGTGTTCAAAATATTCCAATGGGGATCTGGTCTGCACCGAACCTGTGGCTGCATCTTATTGCTCTCACTGTAGTCAACTTGGTGAGCCCTGGATAAATCAGCTTTAAGGCTGGATAAGCACGAGTTGCTAATAGCTACTAAGTTTCAGCCTCCAGAAGGAAAGGCATCTATTGAATGAATGGTATGCACCAGGTTTCTTGTACAAAACTTTAAAAAATATAAATAAATAAATACTGTACCTTTAATAACAGTTCTATGACTTCAGTATGAACAAGGCCATGCACTGGTTCTCCGTTGATATGTGTGATGAGGTCACCAGCTTTCAATCCAGCATGATAAGCCGAACTTCCTTCTTCAACATTCTAGAAAGCAAAAAGAGGTATTTCTGAACCAGAAATCTTATTGGAATTATATGATTTTGTCTAAGTTGAGGATAATGTAAATTGAGTGTGTAATGGGCAGGTGTAAAAAATAAAATTATTTTAGAATTTTGTTTTGGTGTCCAGGTAAGATGGAAAATGGAACTTGAAAATGGATTAGAGAAGCCAATGGATGTTGGGCTAAGCAAATTAAGTGGCTCAGCTGCAAGCAGCAGACTGTGATGCAATTAACTTTTTTGGATCTGGACATAAGATATCTGAGTTAAGAGAGCACTTAACAGATGCACAGAAAATTCTAATATTGGTCTAGAATGGCATATAATGAACATACTGCCCTCTACAAGGCGACCCAGATAGCTTGTAAGAATGCCAGCATGTTGGGCCATTTTCATCGGATGTAGACTTGAAACAACAAACATAAGCCTTACCCAGACAATATGCTGTACTGTGTAGATGTCGCTATCACCCACATACACTCTGATTGCGCGGATAGTAAATCCATACTTCTTGCCTGAGGTGTGAATTATGACAGGCTGATGAGGACTTGCAGAAGCAGCTGAAGAATCACGGCTAGGCGAAGAATCTCTAGAAGACGAAGGATCTGAAGACACGGAATGGGGGGACATTGGACTTCCCAAAGGAGACACACCAAATATATCTGGAACAAATGGTCCTCTATATAAGTTTACATTCTGAATTTATGTTCATACATCCTACATATGTAGACTAGAAAACTAAGCAGATGCTTAAAAAAATAATTCTCTCCCCCGCAAATCTAGATAAATTTCCAAAACATTTACAATACAGTACCTTTAATATATCCCAGCGCTGCCCATTTGGCACTTTAATAATACAGTACCTTTAAGTTTACAAACTTAATCTGTTCTGGAAGTCCATTCTTAAACCAAAGCGTTCTTAAACCAAGGTGTGCTTTCCCATAGCAGTGGGGGACTCAATTTACAATAGAACACACTCAACAGGAAGTGAAACATGTTCTTATTCCAAGGTAAAGTTCACAAACCAAAACACCTACTTCCAGGTTTGCAGCGTTCTTAATCCAAGTTGTCCATAAACTAAGCTGTTCTTAAACCAAGGTACCACTGTATGTATATTTTGTTGGGTTTGAATTTTTAAAAACTGATTGAATGATTTAAAGGTGCATTTACAGTAAAATTTCCTGTTCATTTTCCATGGAGATCCCTACATATACAAATTATTATTCTCCTATTTAGAAAAACCAAAAAAAATAATTATTTTAAAAATATGACTTCAAATTAAATACCTAGCAAAGTTGCACTAATATCACATTGCATGAAGAGGAAAGGGGTATATACAAGCATATACAAGCATCAAGTTAATAGTTATAATCATAATCTCTACCTCCTGGAATCATAAGGGATAGAGCACTGGCCGAGAGGGACTTTGTGACTTTTCCAGAGATTTTCTTTTTCTCTGTTGTTTCTAATCGCTGACGAGCCATATGAGATGCTTGTTCATTGGAAGGCTTTGAGGAATTATCAGTGCTGTCCACACACTCACTTCTTCCATTTATCTGATCCAAGTGCTCTGAAAAACTTCCAACTGCACAAAAGCAAAGAACAAACAAACTGAAGAAACAAACAAACCAAGAGGTTGGGGCAGAATCAAACAACACTGTAAAATAATCTCATTTCTAGAAGCATATAAATAATAATAATAATAATAATAATAATAATAATAATAATATTATTATTATTATTATTATTATTATTATTATTATTATTTATACCCCGCCCATCTGGCTGGGTTTCCCCAGCCACTCTGGGTGGCTTCCAACAAAACACTAAAATACAATGACCTATTAAACATTAAAAGCTTCCCTAAACAGGACTGCCTTAAGAATGTTATGCCCACTATTGACTTAATTGTTAGCCATGTCAAGGGATCAGGAGTGAGCCAAAACAATGGTCTCCTTCCCCTTCCATGCACTAAACTCCCTGTATTTGTGGAAATCTACAACTTTAGACTTTGAATAAATATACTTGATAGGGAAAGTAGTGAAAAGCTAAGATGTCCTGCACAATTTATACTGTCATGTAAGTGTTTATGCAAGACTTATACAACTAAAAATATAATAATTTAACAATGAACAAAATGTATCATACTCTTTTATGTGAAGTGTCTATTCCTAGGTTAGGTGATTTACGCTGTCATCGGTAACAATTGTAGCTGATGAATCAATGATCCATAAATATTTTTTTATAAGCAAAAAATTGATCACTAGGCCTACACTGGCAATGGCCATGTTTGCACATCATACTTACCAAATCATGTCTTGACATAAACATGCTAGCTCCTGAAGACAAAATCACATCCAATGTGCTCCTCTCAAGAGGTTTTGGCTCAATGTGGCACCTAACCCAAGGTCTGGCTTAGCATGCTTAAAGTCTATCTTTCTTACCAACAAGCTGTAGCCAAGGTTTGTTCTATAGGCTGAAGTTTCTGAAATATCATTACTGCAGTGTGCTATAGATGGGGATGCCTTTGAAGATGGTTCAGAAACTGCAGCTGGTGCAGAATTCAGCAGCCAGGTTGCTTCCTGGAGCAAGATGTTCTGAGCACATAACACCAACCTTAGCCCAACTGCACTGGCTTCCAATTAATTTCCAGGCTTAATTAAAATGCTAGATTTGAGCTATAAAGCCTTATATAGCTCAGGAACCCAATACAGTGGTACGTCTGGTTAAGAACTTAATTCGTTCTGAAGGTCCACTCTTAACCAGAAACTGTTCTTAACCTGATGTACCAGTTTAGCTAATGGGGCCTCCCGCTGCCGCCGCGCCACCGCCACGCGATTTCTGTTCTCATCCTGAAGCAAATTTCTTAACCCGAGGTACTATTTCTGGGTTAGCAGAGTCTGTAACCTGAAGCATCTGTAACCGAGGTACCACTGTACTTCAGGAACTGCCACTCCTGACATAAACTGGTCCAGACTCTGTGATTGTCGTCTGAAGCTCTTTTCTGAGTGCCCCCTCCACTGAAGGTCCCGAGGGTGGCAACATGAAAATGGGCCTCTTCAGTGGTGGTTCCCTACTTGAGGAATGCTCTCCCAAAGGAAACTTCCCTGACACCATCTTTGTCTAGTTGTAAGTGTGATGCAAAAACTTTCATTTTTACCTGTGCTATTGACACTCAATTTGAAAAGTTTTTAAGTATTTGTGGCCTCTTTTGATGGGGCAGGAGTCTAGACCTTTATTTTATTTGTTTGTCTTTTAATGTTTTATTGTGTTTATTGTAAATAGTCTTAGCATTTCAATTATGTCTGTAAGACACGGAGTCATTTCTATGAGTGAAGCAATTAATTAATGAGACAGTGCCCATGAAAGTCACTGCCATCCATGTATGTTGTTCATTAAAAGAGAAATCCCCAATGTTCCATTACCCATTTAGATTATGCATTTTGTGTCGCATGTAGTTTGGCCCTAAAACTGAAGACATAATTTTGATCTTGGAATTTAGGAAGGAGAAGGTCAAATGAAATGTCTAACTTTATACAAAACAGATGAACAAAACATACATGCTGTAGAAAATACTTCCATCTTACCTGACAGAGTGGAGCTACTGATTGTGCTTGCTGGAGTTGTTACCTCCACTTCATCTAAAACAATTTCCTCACTGACAAATGCAACCTTTTCTTGATCTTTGCAGGATCCAGCAGAACGTGGTGATTCTTCTTCATCTCCTTCAGCTGATACTGACAATTTTGGAAGTAACCCTGAACTGTGACGTTGCCTAGAACTTTCAGTACCAGAAGACAAAGATGTAGATAGTTGCTGCCTACATTTAAAATGATATTTACACAATATAATTAAATAGGTGAACACAAATCAAAACCAGAAAAACACAAAATTTTGCAATGTTGCATTAACAGTAAAACTAATCAAACACAATGGTGTTAAGAGAGAACCAATGCCTTACTGTACACATCTCATGTTATGTTTGGTCTCTGGCATATCATTATAGTTTGGCCTAATCTGCTTCATAGGATTATTGTGAAGTTACTTTATGATAACTCTACATACTCTATTGGCAGGGGACAAATATGAAATAAATACTTACATTTCAGAATATTCTGAGCTCCAGCTTAAAGATTCTGCAGATGTTAGTACTACGTTCTTTGTTCTCTCTGTTGTATCTTCCTTCTCTGCAGTTTGATTTCGAGTTCCTCGATCTATACTGCTAAAAACCTGTGCATGGGGGAAAAAGAAATGATAGCTAACAGTTGTTTGTATCTAAAAGAACTTCAGAAAAATACATATCATGCAGAGCTCTGCATGCTCTAAATACTTATAGGCAGTATCCTGGAGTTTTAAAGGACTTCAGTAGATGAAGTTCTTAAAATGATTTTCAATTCTACTCTCCTTGGTATCTTTGCTAAGCAACAGGGTAGCTAATGGCATCTTTTCTGTCATGAATTCATCTCATTTCTTCTTCACCTTTGACTTTATGTACTATGGACATGCATGCTAAACCTATAGATGCTTCAGGATTTTTATATCATAGGATCAGTGCATATCCCAAATACTTCTTAACCATAAAGTCACTGAAAAAACGAAAACAAAAATATCAGCAAGTCATATAATGGCCATCACTCAGGAATGCAAAGTGGTAGGGAGAGTGAGCTGAAATTGACTGTGAAGATGAGAATAAATTACTTGACTAAATGATTTAGAGATTTGGCGGGGGGGTGGCCATAAAAAAGCCAGTTGTTTATCTGACAACCTGCATATTGAGCTTGTTTGCAATGAAAAAAGTTGAGCTTTTAAGATATCAGTATCATACTATTCTTGTAGTATCCTATCTTACAAATGCACAGAAGCCATCCACAAAGAGAAGATTTAAATGCTTCTTGCTGTTTGAGAATTGGATTCCTGCTGCCAAGTCATGACAAAGGTTTAACATCACTAGACGGAAAGCAAGACCTTCTCTTGCTTTTCCCGCTTGCCCATTCTTAAATTGGCTCTACAGATGAATGGGGATTATGGATTTCTACAGATAGGGAAGCATATAACTATGCACAAGAGGAACAGAAACTTTAAAATCCCTTGCATTTAATCATATTCTGCAAAAAGCATTTGGAAATTGTATACAGTCACCCACTGAGTTTATTTATTTACACATATAGCCCATCACATCACAGGGGTTTAGAGAAGGTACTGTAATAGCAGACAAACTATAAAAAGCATACATATTTTAAGATGTTAAAACTGCTCCTGCCCTTCCCTTAAAAACAACAACAGTGTACTCGGGGTGGACATAATTACAGTGGGGGGGAGTATTTGATCCCCTGATAAATTTGCCCTTTTGCCCTCTGACAAAGAAATGTCCAGTCCATAATTTTAATGGTAGGTTTATTGTAGCTGTGAGAGACAGAATAACAACAGGAAAACCCCCAGAAACCCAGAAGACAAAACCACCTGTCAACAGAAGCAATCAATCCAGCAGATTCCAAAGTAGTCACCATGACCAAGACCAAAGAGCTGTCCAAGGATGTCAGGGACAAGATTGCAGACCTGCACAAGGCTGGACTGGGCTACAAAACTATTGCCAAGCAACTTGGTGAGAAGGTGACAACAGTTGGTGCAATAATTCGCAGATGGAAGAAACACAAAATAACTGTCAACCTCCCTCGGTCTGGGGCTCCATGCAAGATCTCATCTCGTGGAGTTGCAATGATCAGGAGAATGGTGATGAAGCAGCCCAGAACTACACGGTGGGAATTTGTCAATGATCTCAGGGCAGCTGGGACCATAGTCACCATGAAAACAGTTGGTAACACACTACGCCATGAAGGACTGAGATCTTGCAGAGCCCACAAGGTCCCCTTGCTCAAGACAGCACATGTACAGGCCCATCTGCAGTTTGCCAGTGCACATTTGAATGACCCAGAGGAGAACTGGGTGAAAGTGTTGTGGTCAGATGAGACCAAAATCAAGCTCTTTGGCATCAACTCAACTCGCAAACTCAATGGGCAAATTTAGCAGGGGATCAAATACTTATCCCCCTCACTGTACGCTTACGTACTCATTCATTCACTTTATTTGTATACCATTTTTCTATGCACAGAAATATGCTTAAAGAGGCTTGCAACAAAGAAATAGGGATACGTTTCAAACACACACTACAAAACAATTTCATTATAACGCAGCAAAACAATAACATACCCACATTTACATAACAACATAACAAAAGAATAGCAAATATAGTAACATAGAGAAAAACACATTCCGATACTATAAATAGAACAGCATGCAACATCCAATAGCAAAAATAACGAGGGAGCTTCACAGTTTCACCTTAGCCCTTAGTGCTATACTATGGAATAACTAAGTTAAACCACCCAGAATATTCATCTTTATATATTCAATACTGCAATAATTATGCTCAAAACTGCTGAAACTTATTTTATAAAAGTTAAAACTGAACTAAGACCTAAATATTAGCTTTTACTATTTTTGTACGGGGTCTCTTCTTCATTACTTTCTCACTTTAAAAATCCAGGAACAATGCTTTTAGTTACTTTCCTCTTTTGATCTCACATACTCATCACATGGAAACATGATGAACTCACAAAGGAGCAAGATACAGGTGCAGAATGGGGGGACGCTTATTGTCTTTTGACAAATCACCTGGCTGGGTACAATGGAAGAAAGCTTAGGGTTTGCTATGAAGTGTGACCATTTTTGTATTTGTTTGAAGGAACTGAAATATATAATGCTAATATATTTACTTATATATTTACTTAATATCCAATAATTTGGATATTTTCTCAAACAGCCCTAGTAAAGTAAACCATAATAAATTAACAGTAGTAGTATTTACAGGAAGATCATTTTTTTAAAACCCTTCAATGGACGTGCCAAAAATGCCTCTCAATAATTCACCACTACACTTTTCTTCTGTTTTCTCATGCATTACACTCACCACAAATTTGGTATATCTTATGGAACATGCAAATGCTTACTTTTGAAAATCGATGCGAACATGAGGAAAACTGCCTAATCTCCAAATTAAAATCTTCATCATTTGTATCATCCTCTTCTTCAGTTTCCATGTGGTGGTATTTCTCAGAACGAGCTATAAAATACAGGACAATCTGTCAGAATTACTGTAGTTTGAAAACTAACTGAAGGACAGTTTTATTTTTGTTAATACAGTCAGCTTCTAGGACAGTAAAACATAGAATTAAAATTATCGCTTCTGTAGAAAATGAAACATACTGTCAAAGTAGCTTGTGTCATCTTCAGATTCCAGCTGAGGAATGAATTCTGCCTTCTGTCTCAGCAAACTATTCCAATCTAAGTTTTGGAAGAACGGGTGCTGTTTCACCTCATAAGCACCACCTGGGGGAGCAAGAGAAGCCTGTCTGGATTAATTCTACAAATAAATTATTCAGTCATATTTATTTTAACATAATAATACCATTTATTTCTAAAACGGTTGCCATGTTGTCATTTTTAAATGATTATCTTGGATTAATCTGTCTTTAGAAAACAAACTACAAAAACTTGAGACTGCTTCCCAGTCCATCTTAAGTAGGTAAAATGTACACCAGAACCGGTATTTACTTTGACACAGAAGCAAAGCATTAAACAAACCAGTAAGAATACATTAGAAACTTGAGCTATTTGTTTTAATATTGAAAAAATAGTCTGTGAATATTACCAACTGTTTAATTACTTTTGTGAACTACATTTTCATATTCTTCTTCAGGGGATAGCCTGAGCTAAGGTAAGTTAGAAGCAACACAATGTCTGTGATATCGGAAAAAAATAAAAACACCCACTATGTCATATGAAATAATATTAACAACACACTGGGAAATAAACATTGGGGATCTTGCATTTTTATTTGATGTTCATTTTGTTGTCTATATTTTAAACTTTATTCCCTGTTAAAAAGGCTATCCTTTTCCTTAAAAACAATTTATTTATTTTTTGGTAGTTGTACACTGAGGGGACAATTTGGGCCAATATGCAATGGAGAGGGGAAAGGGAGCTGAATTATATATAATGGATTGAACTGGTTAGCCAATTCTTTGGTGTTTCTGCACTCAACAGGTACAGTATTTTGCATAGTATCTAGAACAGTAGTTTGCAAACTTTTTTTTCTTACAGACATGAAAATTGCTGGTGGGTAATTAATGATAAACACAATGATTCTTTTTTTTGCCTGTTTTATCAATTGTAATGTGCTGTGCTAGATGCTGTATGTTTTTTAATTGTACTTTATTGCTTCTTTCATTTCTTTTTATTTTAAAAGAAGCAATAAAAATACAATTAAAAGTTATATGAATATTTTATATGGTGAAGGTGCCGTCTCTTTCCTTCAATCACAAATCCAGACACTACATAACAGTTATAGATTGACTTTCTAAGAAGACCTTGGGGGGGGTATTGGTTTTTTATTCTTTTTATGCCTTTTGTGTTTTTCATCCTCTGTTTTTATATTGTGAACCTGGTCCAGATTGGCTACCTGAAATGTTTAGGGGGAAGGGAAGGGAAGGGTTAATGGGTTTTTGTTATTGTTGTATGTGTCAAAAATGTAATTTACAAGTACTTTGGAAACCAATGTATGCTTGTATTTTTTTTGGGGGGGGGACTCATAAATAATAGCAATAAAAAGAACCAAATCCACAGATACGTTCCAGACCACCAGAAGGAATCTCATGGACTACTAGTGGGCCATGGACCAGAGTTTGAGAACCTCTGATCTAGAATAACAGTGAAAGTCAGAAGTTTACCACAATCTGACAACTGGTTTTAGGCAAATGCCAAATGCATTAATTTCCAAAACAATATTATTTCCAATTTTTTTAAAGTCACTTTTGCACAGCATTCCAAATGTCAAACAATCTAGACTCACCAAAAATTGTGACTGTCAAATTTTCACCCCAACTTAAATGCACATTCTCTAAATGCATAATACTGTCATTCAAAGAAACACATTTCAGTCTCTCTTTATACGCACAACTTTATCACAAACCAAGGCAACCAGCACTGCTATTACCAGCACATTATCAATCTCTCTATGAAAAACTGGAACACAAATTACAGCCAGTCCATAGTACAAAAGACATAGCTGTATTCATCACCCCTTTCCTTTTATCTCCTTCAATTTCTCCTGTTTTTTGCTTCTGCAAAAGAATTGCACTGAATGAAGAGGATAAGAAAGCATTATGTGACTCAAACTCAAGCCTTTTCTTTGTATTAGTCAAAAGAAAAGTTCAGTCACTCACACTAGGATCTACTGAGATAATTGTTTTGACAGCGTTAACTGTGGCACATGAAAATGGCATTCTATATTGATTAACCATGATGTAAACTTTGATATGCTATAGAAGAGGACCCAGCCAGTCTGGGCTCTCTGCTGAAGTGCAATTACTAGACACTGCCTCTGTATAGTGGGAGATGTATGGGTTTCCTTAAAGTTTGGTACAGCTCAGTCAATGTGCTATGGGTGCCAAGATGCATTATACATACAGGAGAGCAGTAGCTATGGCCCCCCCTTGGGAAGAAATGGTCCCACCTGTGCCTTTTGGTTTGTATATCACTACAGAGTTCAGGAATGGGGTTATGCATGGCTTCTGTATGTATGTATGAGTGAGGTGGACTGAGTGAGTAGCCAAACAAGACATAAAGCACATAGATCAGATACATTTTCAGGGACAGAAAAGGGTTCAGGATAGGACTTCTAGAATCTCACTGCTGATTGGCACTTCAGTTGTTTCCACAGATCGTTTATTTCAGACCCAGTAGCATGTCTTCCAATGCCTGAAGCAGAAACTTTAGTGAAATACCCACAGGGTGGATATGTGTCCATTCCATCATCACAAACACCACTCCAGGATATTTAATAGGAGTAGTTGCTTTCATCACAAACATAGTTTTGGGTTTCCTCCCTTCTTTGTTTTCCCTTCTGCATGGATTCAGTTTCTTTTTCGTTTGCGCCTCACCGTGTTTGGTGCACGTATGGTTATGTATTTTTTGAACTTTCAATTAAAATTAATAATAACAAACCAAAAAACAAATATAAAGTTACAGAACTGGGGATCTATTAATAGACTGTGATGTGATTGGGAAACAGCATTGTCTATACAAACCCACATTTGGTCCTTTGCAGGCATTATGATCTCAGGTTGCAGAAGTGCTGTCACTGGCATTTTCCTTAAGAAAATATGTTTAGTGTGTGAAAAGCAGTCTCAGTATTCATCAAAAAATATGTTGAAAAAGCACAACAGGAACAGTGCACTGTAGAGTCTGGTCAAATGACTGCTTCCTTAAAACATTACCAGTGAAACAAAACTAAATGTTGCCCTTGTAATACATGTTCATAATGCATTCACTGTAAGGTATTTCTTAGTCAAAAAGAGCAAGATAAAAGGCCCCAAACAATAAGATACTATTTCTATCATCTTGGTAAACATGAGTGTAAAAACCATGCTTTCTAACCTGTTCCCAATCTCTCCAAGGGGTTTTGTCTCAGAAGCAAAGTAATCAGTTCCTGGGCATCCGGAGGTGGTGCTTCATCTTTTTCTGGCCAGTTGATCTCATCTAGCAGAGAGAGATACAAATTGTCAATCTTTTTTTAACATTCTATCATTCAACATTGACTTGTGACATCTATTCAGCATAACTTGGTACAGCATAAGCGCAGCCTCAGGGATCAAGGTGGGGGTGTTGCTGTGGTTCACTGATCTTTGGCCATGCTTACCAGGAGACATCTTCATTCGGGGGCTGGCCTTTGGTTTGACACTTGATGTCAAACCAGAGAGAGAGACTGGCGATGCTGTTGCCCAGTAGTCTCCCTAACAGAGCTAATGCAAGCAGCCTCTGGTGTCACACTGGAGAACACTAGAAATATTGTCCTGGGGGATTTAAACATCCATGCGGAGGCTGCTCTTGTTGGTCTGGCTCTGGCCCTCATGGCCTCCATGACAACCATGGGGCTGTCTCAAATGGTCACCAACCCTGACCCATAGCGCAGGACAACTTGTTTTTTTGCCCCTGGTGACGAAGCTGATGGTCTGGAAATAGGAAGGGTTTCTGTGATGCCCTAGTCATGATCAGGCCACTTCCTGGTGGGGTTGGGATAATGGTACCAACCTCCCTCTGTAGAGATGGAAGACCCACTATTATGGTTCACCCCTGGAGACTTATGGATTTCAATGGATTCCTGAATGCTCTGGGGGATTTTTTGGTGGATAGAACTGGCAATCCTGTTGAGGCCAATGGAATTGTGAGACTCAGAAGGCTGTAGATATAATCATGCCTGAGCCCTTGTGGAGCATGTTTGGCACCCTGGTATACTGGGAAGCTGTAAGTAATGAAACAGTTTAGGCGATGGCTAATGTGCAGGTGCCAGAAGTCTCACTGCAAATATGACCAAACAGGTGCTAGAGCACATAATCCTGCCTACTATGTGGAAGCGAACGCAGCAAAGAAGGCTCACTTTGCTGCTTCCATCACATCCTTGATAAATCGGTTAGCAGAGCTCTTCAGAGCGGTCCATAGCCTACTGACACCTATATTGGTAGACGGAGCCTGAGACACCTGAGGGTCCCTCTGTGCATTGCTTTGAGGACAAAGTTGGTTACCTTCACAGCAAGCTAGATGCCAGGATTGATGGTGTTCCAAGTGAGGTTTCCAATGTCCCATCAAGCCATGTTTTGTAGGCTCATCTACAGGCGATGGGTATTGGGGCCACTGTCCTGCAGTGGTTCTGGTGTCCTCTCCAGGGATTGTTTCAGAACACAGCATACTTCTCAATCCCATGGCTTTTAAGCAAAAGGGCACCACAGGGTATTTAACATCTACATTAAGCCACTGGGAGTTGCCATTAGGTATTTTGGAGAAAGGTGTCATCAGTATGCTGTTGATACCCAACTCTCAGTAACATCTGAATCTGAATGGCTGAGAAGACCCTTAGCCAGTGTTTGGATGCAGTGGTGGACTGGATGAGAACTAATAAACTGAGTCTGAATCTTTGCAAAATAGAGGGTGGGTGGGACCAGGAAGTTGGTAAGTTGCCTGCCCTGGATAGAGTTGTGCTCTCTTTGAAGGGACAGAAGTGGATTTTGGGGGTGCTTCTAGATCTAGCTCTGCCACTAGACGTGTGTCCACAGTGACTAGGAGTGTCGTATGCTAACTTTGGTTGTTAAGACAACTATGGACATTCCTGTATCAGAATAGTTTGATCACAGTGGTCCATGCATTGGCAACCTCATGGCTGGATTACTGCAGTGGGGTTGATTCAGAGGCTGCAGCTGATGCAGAACTTAATTCACCTTGGACAAAGGCAGGAAATGGACTGGATGAGGACAGGAAACAGCTACATACTCCTTGGCTCTGAACATTTCCTGCCTTGGACAGTAGGTGGTGATGTTTACCTATGTAACAGTCTGATACCCAGGGGAAATAGTCATGCAGCTTGCAAACTATACTCAAGATGCAATACACCAGGTCCTATGGAAAAGGTCACAATTTAATTGTGGTATTCTCCAAAAGGGCCAGATTAAACATCACAACTATGATGGGCCACGGGCTGAATTTTACCTAGGTGGACTTACACAGAAATGCTTTTACTCTGAGTGAAAAGCAAAAGACATATTTTTCAACTTGGTTGAAGGAGATTTAAACACAAACCTTCTGAGGAAGCCCACATTTGGAAGACCTGATATCTGAATCCTGTCAAATATGGTTGTCTATAGATCTAAACACATGCTGAAGACATCTATCATGCAAAAAGCGATTTCGTAGTGGAATAAACCATAGTTTTTAACTAACTTATTTTGCATTTATGTTTTGTAATGAGGTAAATCACTCCAATGCACAGGCACAGAATGGGATATGAAAAGCAGTGAAAAGGGGGTGTTAAATAAGAAGCTATGGCAAAGACACATTCTCTGAACTCAAGAGAATCTGACAGATATAGTCTTCCTTTCCCCTAGGGAAAAACTTGTAAAAAATCTCATTGCACAGAAGAAATGTACCAGGGGGAAAATTACTTCCTAAGCAATGTCAATTCTTTGAATTGAAACTTGTAACCAGGTATTAATTATACTTTACTACAAGTTTTTTTAAAAAAATATTTAATATTTATTTAGTATTAAAATACACAGTATGGACAGTGTAGTATCCTTTAACCATGGTAAAACAACTGACCATTTTTTCGTCTCAGCTTCGTCTCCTCATACATTTATTTCCCCTACTGGTGCAATTGTTAACTAGAGTTTGATTTCAACAAGAATTTTAACCTAGAATAAGATGCACATTTTCAGTCTCTGCAACTTCTGCTAAAATACTGATGTGTCCAATTTCTTTTTAGTTATCTGAAGCTATTGGAATGTCCTTCTCCAGCTTATTACTTTATTACATAATATCATATGCTTGCACCCAAATGTACAAATGCACATGATAAGATAAACACAACGAAAGCATGACAGTATTTTATTTTTCCTGCCTACATCTTTTTAAATGCTATTTAAATGCATTCTGAAAAACAAAATATGAAAATTGTTGCTGCCTCAGGGATCAAAAACAACTTCTGCTTGTTTTAATTAAACATTTGATTCCCTCTTATAACTTAGGTACAAAAAAACCAGTATGTTTTTAAATCTATAAACAGCTAATGTATTGTATAAAGAGGTTATTTACTGTAGGCAACCAACAAATCTATTTCATTAGATTTCAAGCATGCCTAGCTGGAAGATCTAATAGAACATAGACATAATTGCAGCCTCCCCTCCCCTGTTCACTTCACTAGTGTACCTTTTCATTGTATTTTATAGAATGGATCGGGAAACAACTAGTAACAGAAATGTCATTCTAGTAAGCATTTGGCATAAACTGTGGCCATCTACATGTTTTGCATCTGGAAAATATAAGGGAACAGCAGGTAGGATAGAGATAGATACTGTTTAATTATCATTTAGTTTTGCCACAAGCTGCATAACAATACTTAGGGCCGGCCTGCAGGTTAAGATCTAAAAGGTTATTGAATTTTAAATGAAAGAAGAACAGCTGTTACAGAAATAACATTATACTGTAATGGCCACTAGTGAAATCATTAGCAATCTGTGAACTGCATTTGAATCCTTCTTTTCCCCATTATTTATTATTTGGGAGACATTTGTTTTAGGGTTTTATTACATTTCTGTTAATTTATTGCATTGTGCCCTTAGGCATTTTCCCATTTATGCAAATTAAGTACATATCAACCCTTTTTTTTTTTTGCTGATTTTTAAAATTAATGGCTGAAAAGACAGTACTAGTTCCAAAAGTATTAACTATCCAGATAATAGTTCCTTTCTGATTAAAGTATTTATCCTCCTCTTTGTGACTAACTCTTTTCCTTTTAAAAAACATTTTCCTCTTGCTTTTCTAGTATGACTCTTCTATTTTTTTCCCCTGATCATATTCTTGCTCACCAGCACTGATACTCCTTTTTTTGTTCCTTCCTCTCTCTATTTCTTTGATCATTTAGTGCCTTAAACTGAGACTGCTGACGAAAATTGCTCTGAATTTTTATATATTGTAAAGTGCTTCCTACATATTAAGCATTATAGAAATATTAAATGTAAGCAGTGTAGTATTATCAAATTATAATGATATTCGTTGAATTCAGTCTTGCTCTGTTTCAGAAGTTCACATACCAGTAGCGTAACTCTGGTGGATTATATAGATAATTACATTTTTAATTGTGGCAAATATGTTAGTAAGCAATATGGATTTAAGTGGTTCTTACACTGAAATGTATGTCATTTTTCCTGAAAGCTCCCCTGTCCTACAAAGGCCTGACTGAATATTGACCAGGTGGCAATTCTTAGAGAGGATGGTTTTAAGGATAATAATTCAAGTTTTCTGATATTTACCGCTGATTACTTGTCCAAATAGCTCCTCCGGTGTATCACCAAAGAAAGGAACACACCCAACAAGAAACTCATAAAGAATAATTCCCATAGACCACCAGTCCACTGGCTTGCCATAGCCCTGTCTTAGAATTACTTCTGGAGCAATATATTCTGGCGTGCCACAGACCTAAACATGAGAGAAGAAAAGCAAACCTGAATTATATTTCTGTGCATAAAACTGTAAGTTGATTGCAATCAATGTGTTAAAAGAAACATATGGAGAATTACAAATTTTGCCATGACTTTCTTTTTGGCTGCATGTATTTCAACTTTTCTGATGAAAGTACTCAAGCAACTAAATGCAAAATCCAACTGCAATTCAGATCTCAACTGAAAGCATGAAAAAATACTTTATATATGTTGTTTGCTAATGTGAAGTCACAGTAAATTACATATATTTATACTAAGCACAATTGGCTCCTTATTATAACACGAAAACTGCAACGGATTTACCTTAAGTAACTCTTACAGTGAACAGATTGTGGGCAAATGGTAATGAGGCATGCTTAAAGGGAAATGGGCCATAGCTAGGATTTTTAGCACCCTTGATTGTGCAATGCATCATGAGTTCCACAAGTACTCTGCTGAGACTCCTGAATTCTTTATAAAAACAACTTTCCATTTGTCTCTCTTACAATCTCACTTGCTCACAATTAGATCATTCATCTTATTAATAGACCATAATTGAAGAAGGGAAAGTCTAGAACAGTAAAGGTAACTCTTACATATAGATTTGTTACAACACTATAGAAATAAAAAAGCATCTACACAATTTGCACAATTCATCTAGTTTCTAAAGCGTTCTGCAAATACAAAAGGAACCACACATCTCTTACCTGTTTATCCAGAAATTCTCTAGCATCCTTCTCAATGTGACCCTCATAAAGATTGGTGGTCATACTCATGAGGCCAACCTTAGATAGTCCAAAATCTGTTAACTTTATATGCCCCATGGAAGTTACCAGTAAACTGCAAATGAGAATGATAGCAGATTACTATTACTTTCTACTTCACTGCTGTAACAGCATAATGTTTTCACTGTAACACATAAATTTAAACTCACATTACAGTCACAGTATATAATGAAATTTGTTGGAATAAAGCCAGCAAATGGATATGACAACTGGCAAGGGATACAGTGTTATGCGGGATCTTAGATTCTCTTTCCAGAGTACTGCTAGTGAGAATGTCACGGTCCCATAATAGCACAGCCAATTAGTAGGTATAAAGAATAATTCAATGGAAGTAGCAGTGTGATTGATGTCTCCAATGGGTATAATTTCAAAATCTCATTTCCTTTTCAGACAACACATCAAGATCAGGATGGCCTTGTGGCACCAACCTTAGGGCCAGAAGTGCAACTCTACTCATGCTGCCACACTGAGTGCCCTATGCATGAATAAATGTGCAAATAGAGCTGGTAATTAGGCTTTATTAAATCTTATAATAAAGTTATAGGCCTCGAATCATCATAGAAGAAATTGAAGATGTCTACAAAGTGGTGAATAAATATGCATATAAACTGTGGAAGTGGGAAAGCATTTATAAAGTTATGGTAACTATAACACAAATTAATAGGATTTGTATTTTTCCTTCATTTAGTAGTAGGAAGCAAAAAGAAATCCAAAACTATGGAAACTAAATAAAGATGTTTCTCCATAGATGGTGGCCATCATCCTACAAGAATGTGACAAAACACATTTGTGCGGGTTTTTAGACAGCTCTAAAAAAGCTAACTTTGAAAATTCTGCAGTGTGTCTTCATTCAGCTCTTGTTTAAAATAATCCACACCTGAGAAAAGCTTTAACCCTCTTAACTGGACCATTATTGTCCAAAGGTGAGTCTGCAAACATTTGCATGATCTGACACATGAAGAAACTGCAATACTTAACAAGTGTCAAATGGTGGATAAAGCATATAAACCACTGTTGCCCTCAGCTACGGACTATGACTGGAATACCTCCTTGAAACGCACTGCTGCAATGAGTTAAAAATAAAAAAAGAACCAGTCAACAAATTCACTATAATTGCAGTTCTTTTAAAAAGAAACAAAGCAGTTAAATGATTACATTCTGAATTCATCTATCAATAAAATTTTATTACATGGACACAAGCCCATTAAAATAAAATTAAAACCCTGGAAGTCATTCAATATGTAATATGAAATGAGTAGTACACATATAAACCACGGAAAAGGAAAACCATGCAAACTACACTACACTTCATTTCACTTTGCCCAGAGGCTTCATATACGATATCATTAGTGTTTCAAGCAACTATTAGCTACATGCTATATACATACTTATCTGGTTTCAAATCCCTGTGTACTATTCCATAGTTGTGGAGATACTCCAATGCCAGAACAGTCTCTGCAAAATACATTCTGGCCATGTCTACTGGCAGAGGTCCCATATTTTTCATTAAAGTAGCACAATCTCCACCTGAAATATAACGTGTATTATTAAACTTATTCCACGCTGAAGAGATGTTTCAGGATTCGGTTTGACACACAATTATAATTAAGAACAGTGTATCCATAAGACTATTCTATTACAGTCAACATGTGAGCAGACATGTTGACTGTAATAGAAACTATTATAGTAATAGGACTTTTTTGCCACTTTACATCAGAAAAAGAAACTAATATTTTTTAAAATTGTGTTACATACATTCAAATTAGTTAAAGAAACTAATGTTGAACATTTTAGCTATGTGTATCTCTTTTTAATACTTGCCCTTTCCCAAAGGATTTATGCAAATCCACTCATAGAAACACGGAAGAGGAAGAAAAGTTCTATTTCAGTATGAACATCTGGCACTGGCACAAGCAGGAGAACACATGGAGGGGGGGTGAGTAAGCAAGCTACCTTATCTACTTATACTACTGATGGGTGAATCCTCCTGAGGAGCTCGATTCCTAACCGAGCCTAACTAACCCAAACCAAAAAGCAAGCTCAGTTATTTCTGAAGATAGTTACAAGGCAAACAGACCACATAGCTTTCCAGGTATTAAGTACAACGTGGTCCAATTCCTTCACCAACCCCATAAGCCTCCCCACTCAACTACCTAAGCTGGTGGTTGCTGGTTTTCTTCTACAGCTTAAAAAAAAAAGGAAAGGGGGGAAAGAACACAGAACCATCGTCATAGTAAGCAAAGTGTCTCATCACCCCTAACTACCCCTAACCATTTTGCACTCCCCAAATGACCTCTCTAATTTGCCACAAGGAAAATCTGGGAGTAATTTCAGCTCAGCCCTTATAATGCTCCCCGCCTTTTAAGAAGGTGAACATTATGAATTAGTGGGATTTATCTTCTATCACTCTTGTCGTCCGTAGTTTCTAGTGTGCATTGTGGACACTGAAGAATGGGAATCTGTAAGGTAAAAATATTCTCATCTTCCAGTATTACACTGCGCATGCCACTGGATGTAGAACAATACTGTACCTTCTACATATTCCATGACCATGCATAAATGGCGTCTAGCTTCAAAGGAACAGTACATGCTGACTACAAATGGATTTTCTGCAAATGTCAGGATATCACGCTCAACAAAAGCCTGTTGAATCTGGTTTCGAAGAATGAGATTCTGTTTGTTAATCTTCTTCATCGCAAACCTCTGTCTGGTTTCTTTATACCGCACCAAATAAACAGCACTGAAAAGAAAAGAGAGAGAAAGAATCAGGATGAGATTGTTTTTAAATCTACTACTTTTAATGCACACTATGCTAGAATTCCAGAATTCAATTTCTGACCTAAGTTGCCACTTCATGTTTTTGTCAGTACTCACTAAAAGGCTTTATGATGGGGGGAACTATTATGGCGCAATATAATAATTAAACCTGAGACTGCTTACTCTGCGGGTGTGCATCATATTTATGACTCCACCTTTGACTCTTAAGGATGAAATCTTGAACACAAAGGAGGGAGGATGAGAGCTTCATGATGAGACAGCTTTTCTTTCCAAATTGTGAAAGTGGTACACCCACTATCCTAGACATTACCAATGAATAAAATTTATCACTACTAAGGCAGCTGTGCTGTGGCTGAGTCAATCTGGAGTTCGCTGACATCATGGCTACTACATAGAAGCCTTCCGACCTCTGATCAAACTCCACTCAAGTTCAGAGCCCTATATATTTCTGAATATGGGCTGAATTATGTCTATTTTTATTTGTATCCCCACAATCTTTTAAAAATAACACCAGCATTATCTTTTTCACGTAGTCAAAGTTCTGTCCCTTATTGCCACTACAGGAACATTTCTTAAGATACACTTTCTCTTAATTTCTCTCACTCTGACAGGACCATTCCCATTTCAGTGCTGGAGCAGACAAAAGAGATTGCACCACACTGAAATCAGGACGACATAGCACCTGAGGCAAAATATGAATCATGTTACATCCTTTGTACTTCCTTTAATGAAGTCATGTGACTCAGCCCAATAACGTTTTGAAACTGGCTTCTGCTTCTCGCAAACCCCTCAGAATGTGTGTGTGTGTGTGTGTGTGTGTGTGTGTGTCCCCATCCACGCACTCAATCAATAAAGTTCATTTCCTTGCTGCTGGCCACAGAAATTATGGCATAAACATATTTAATCCTTCCCTATAGTTTAGGTTCTTTATCCCATTTGTTTCTCTGCACTACAAACCCTCTTCTTTGAATATGAATGATTTGCCCTGTTCAGCCTTGAACTCTTCTCTTTGATTTTAATGTGGTGAGCTCTTGTTTATCATATGTACAGGAAAGTGGCCCTCATCATTTGCATTAAGTTTGTCAACAGGCAAGAGCAATCCACCCTGATCCGCTTTGTCTGGGGGTGGGGTGGATGGGATAGAGATGTCCCTCCAGCAGCCCTGCTGGCATCACTCTGCTGGCAAGGAGCTTCCACTTCTGCCTGCCAAACATGCAGGCAAACAGGATCCTCGCTAGCAACAGCCACCAGAACACCCTCAAATGGGACTGTCCAGGGGCAGGGCTGGGTCTATCTGTGATCTGCCAACCTGGCCCTACTGAAGTGATGTGGTGGCATCAGGTCTGATCTTGGCCCTAATACTGTGCCACTTCCAGGCTGTCAGAGCAATCTGCCTGCCAACCACCTACTGCTCCATCCACCATGTGTAGGAGGGCTACAAATGCTACAGTGGCCTGCTGCTCTGTAAAGTTTCCATAAACACGAAAGTTTAGGGATGGGGGGAGTTTGGACTCATCGCCAATACCCTGAAAACTAAACAGTTAATTAATCAACTGATTGTGCATAAGAATATAAGGCTTCATACATGCTACACTTTTAAAGCACATTTGAAGTACATTTTCCTCCTCAAAGAATTCTGAGCAATGGAGTTTACATCTCACAGAGTTACAATTCCCAGCACCCACAGTGCCCAGAATTCTTCGAGGAAAAGAATGTGCTTAGAATTTGCTTTAAAGGTATAGGCAGCCCCTTGCTTACGTGCATTCAATATGTGTGCAATCGTGTATGGGCACATCATGCCGAACCCAGAAGTGACCCAGAAACGTCATAAAGACATCACTGAAAAGTAATTAAAAGGGCAGGACAGGGGGGGGGAGCAGGGGGAGCAGGGGGGGTGTTTGCAGGCTTTTTCAATGGGTTTCAATTATACTTTATTTCACCGACACACGTGGTGCCTCAGAATGTAACCTCCGCATAAACGGGGAGCTGCCTGTATAGTGTATACACACTCTAAAATGAGCCCTGCTGTATAAGACCAAAGGCCTTCCTTGTCCAAAATTCTGTTCCTATGGTGGCCAACTAGAGGTCTATGGGAACCACACAAGCAGAGCAACAGTGCAAGAGCCATCTCCTGCCCACGTACCCCAGCAACTGGTCTCAGGGGGAAGGTAGCTCCAACACTAAAGGCAATACACAATCATCATGATTCATAGCTACTTATAATTTTATACAATATTTAGTCTAAACCCATTTTAAAGATGTTCAAGTTGTATAGAGTCTAAGCAATAACTGAAATTAGTTGTGTGAAAGAATGAATAGGCTATACACCATACACAGTATGGTTGCTTAACCACTCTAACAAAATTTAAACATAAATGCTATATGGCATATAACCACATACTGAAGACCACAAGTACCATTAATATGGCATGAGAGAAACTGCACAGCAGATGACACTGTGGAACAAATGCATCTTGTTTAAAACCTAGTCTGCTAGAACATTCAATAACATTCAATTGAAATCTTTCTTGGCACATTGTCTATATGAAAACATAACAATGCGAATGTTATTACTTCTTTGCAGTCCTTAATATTTAATTATTGCACAGACCAGCTACTGAGGTACCTTGTGTTAAGAACTTAATTCGTTCCGGAGGTCCGTTCTTAACCTAAAACTGTTCTTAACCTGAAGCACTACTTTAGCTAATGAGGCCTCCTACTGCTACTGCTGCTGCTGCTGCTGCGCCGCCAGAGCACGATTTCTGTTCTCTTCCTGAAGCAAAGTTCTTAACCCGAGGTACTATTTCTGGGTTAGCGGAGTCTGTAACCTGAAGCATCTGTAACCTGAAGTGTATGTAACCCGAGGTACCACTGTACATTTGAAATCAAGTGATTCTCTTGTGAGGGTTCCACATTACAGTTAACATTACTGATTTTCCTAATCTAATTTGCTTTTTTCCAATTCTTCCTCACCTCATTTTCAATATTACATCTTCTATTTAATTCTATAGGCTGGATCCAAATGTACTTAAGAACAGACCCATTGGAATCAATGGGATGTATTATTATAGGTCTACTCTAAAGTATGTGTATGTCTCAATCCAGCCACATATTTGTTTATCCATACTGTTTTTGATAAAGTTTTTTTTTTTTTTTAAGTGGAATGCTATGAAAAACTCATGCATATAGTTCAAGATTCAGCCAATGGGCATGTACACACAGCAGAAAATCACACACGTCCAGAGACTGACGTCTGGTTTCCTTTGTAGTCATTGCTAGTGCTAAATAGAGACAAGCAGTTTTGCAGTAGCAGTCCAAAGTACCTCAGGTTCACTCCCTTGTTCACAAATCTGTTCTTTGGAATCTAGTCAAACTACATTGGAACGCTAATGGCCAAACATAAGGTAAGTGTCTTTTAAATCTGAGCATCAGAAAGAAGAGCTGTTTATCAGCCAACTATGTCTGCACAACATCTTGATAAACATAAACAAAAACACAGTGATGCTTTCCTTCTTTCACTTGACTGATTTAACCTTAGAAAAACGTATTTTTACATATAAAAGAATTATTTTCCTGCTTTCAGTCAGTTTACAGGCCAAAAAACTTCATTAAGAGAACCATATTTAGAGCAGTTCATTTATTTATTTGCATTAAAGATTTCTGTGCTCCATTTTTAATCAAATTGTCCTCCACTGGCATTTAAATAAATTAATAATTCATTTATTTTAATTAATTAATTCATTTATTTCCCTTTTATTAAAAAACACATGCCTTACACTCAAATGGAGCTCCTGTTGAGAATATATTTTCCAAAATATGCCTCAGAAAACACAGGATGCAGGGTAGTGGCCAGCTCTATGCCACTGCTTAAGAGATTGGGATACCCTCTGGAACATGGATAGATAAACTAAGGCCTGGGGGCCACATCCGGCCCAATTGCCTTCTAAATCCGGCCCAGCGTGTTTTCACATGAGTAGAATGTGCCCTTTTATTTAAAATGCATCTCTGGGTTATTTGTGGGGCATAGGAATTCATTCATTATTATTTTTTCAAAATATAGTCCGGCCTCCCACAAAGTCTGAGGGACAGTGGACTGGCCCCCTGCTGAAAAAGTTTGTTGACCCCTGCTCTGGAACAATGTAAAGGTGGGGGCTGCAGAGGAAAGGGGCAAAAATAATCCCCGCCTCCTTGTCTAGATCTAACCCATTATGGATGGCTCATTAGGATGAGAATAGGGCAGAAGTGTCCCTACAATGGCAAAGACAAGATCTGAAATATTTTCCCCACAGTGCTAATAGTAATCTCTACAAATTAGATAGTTTATTTAGAAATGCTTTCTATTCTACTAGGAAAAATGAGAAAAAGCACTCTTCCTTTAATCCCAAAAGCGAAAGAGCATCACCCCTCTCAAACTTAAAGCAACACAACTAACAACAGGTTTTGTTAATTATTTTGTGTATGTATCAGCCACATATGTTTATTTCCCTGCTGCTCACTAGCAAAGTCTCGAGAAGACCTAATTGTAGTGCACAGCAACTGTATTTATGTAACCTTCAACAAAACTAGAAATAGCTATTGAACTGTTTCACCAAAGCATACCGATGAGGGATTAAGCAAGTGCAACAATTGTGAATGAAACTTCTGTTCTGAGGTTAAAATAATTGGGAAGGGGGGGAGAGAACACATTGCATTTGCAACAATAAACAATTTATGTGCAAGAAACACAAGATTTGGCTTACGGAGGAAAGTCTAAGACAAGACAGCTTGTGAAGATATTAATGACTTGGCCTGCATCCTACATGTTTACTGATTCACAGCTTGTTTAACTTCTTGTATATTCTCAACCATTCATTCCCAATAGCCTAGTGTATCTCATGTGATATAAAGTATTTTAATTCAGATGAATGAATTTATTCCCCCATACAAATGAATCTATTCCTCCAATTCTCAGCCAGCTTTTAAAAAACATACTTACTGAAACTTAGGCAAAAGGTTCACATATTTATTTGATCAAACTTAATAAATCTGATAAATTTATGCCAAATTATGCCAAAATCAAGAATTACTATTTTGAAACACATCATGTAAGCTCTCTAATGAAGGCACCTAATTCCATAACAGAACCAAACAAATAAAGATCAGAAGGTTGGCGGTTCGAATCCCCATGACGGGGTGAGCTCCCGTTGCTCGGTCCCTGTTCCTGCCAACCTAACAGTTTGAAAGCACGTCAAAGTGCAAGTAGATAAATAGGTACCGCTCCAGTGGAAAGGTAAATGGCGTTTCCGTGTGCTGCTCTGGTTTTGCCAGAAGCGGCTTAGTCATGCTGGCCACATGACCCGGAAAAACTGTCTGCGGACAAACGCTGGCTCCCTCGGCCAGTAAAGCAAGATGAGCGCCGCAACCCCAGAGTCGTCCACAACTGGACCTAATGGTCAGGGGTCCCTTTACTTTTTTATATACATACATATTTGGTTCAATCAAAATGCTTCCATTTGGAAGAAACAGCATGTTATACTATCATAATAAAAACATTAATGAACTACATCAGAAAAATATACCCGGTGACATTTCTGAAAATAAATCAATGAACCATAAGCTAGACCTCACTTATTTATGGGACTGCAGAAAATTAATGGCCTGGAAAACACCAAAAGGAAAAATGTTGTCTGACAACATTAACTTTATTTTCAGTTTATACTAGTAATAAACAGCATTAAGTGCCTGTGAAACAGTTTATTGCTTTGCATCCACAAAAGAAATAGTATACTTATTGTTTAATGGTACTAAAATGCTTAACAGCTAAGTTATTAGTAAGTGCTACCTTTTTACTTGGAAATAGTGGTCCAATTTGACTGAACACAGGGGATCAGAATTCTAACCTTTTGAACTTAGCATTAATAACCCAAACAAATAAAGAAAACCAATGAATGTGTTTTGTTAACACTGAAAAAACAATGAAAAAGACAAATGATTTCAACATAGGCTTTATGCATGTGCTGCATATTATGCAAGGTAAAGAGACTCTATTTTAAGCAGAAGTTTTACCAAAGATAAAATAATAATAATAATAATAATAATAATAATAATAATAATAATAATAAAAAATGGGAACCCCTTTCCCCATTTAAGAGCTATTCATTACCAAGAGAAGAATTATTTAATTACATTTTTCTATACAAACTTGTTTACCAGCCAAGAAGTAAGCAGTTTCATTTTGAATAGTATACAAACTTGCATGCAAAGCTATGAGCCTTATTTATTATAAGAGTACTCACCCATATGCTCCATTACTAATCAGCTTAATTGTCTCAAAATCACTTTCACGAGGCTTCCTTTTAAGTTTAAGGGATGCATTGGAACTCTTTAAAAGAAATAAAAAAAAGAAAGAAATCCAGTTACACTAGGCATGAAAAGTTGCAATATACAGTGGTATACGAAGTATATACCACAGTATATACCACTGTATACGAAGTGGGTCTATTTAGAACCAGTGTTAGAAACTGAGATGTGAAAGCTAGGAGCTAAATGGCACCTTAAACCTAGGTTATGGGCACAACAACAGAAGGTCTAGGTGCTGAGTCCTAGAAGTGCTCTCTTACTGGACAAATTGATTGATTAATGAATAGAATGGCAGTGCAGATAACCATTCTCTTCTATTTTGCAAAATGCACAAATTACTTATTTTTATTTTTTATATTACTATAAAGCAAAAATAATATTGTCAAAAAAGAGTGGTATTTTGATTACAACTAAATACATGAATAAGAGAATAAAGAAAGTAACCCTCCAAACTAATTTCTCATATAATTGCTACATTTATATTGATTACTAAAGACAAATAGGATGTAGGCTGCACATTATAAGATAATGAAATGAAACAATACAGCCAGCTGTTTATTTTGAACTCATTATAAGAAAACATAGGCCAATGTAGCAAAAGACTTACACTAACTGATTCATCAGTTTCTGGAGTTGCTGCAGTTCCACTGTCATAGTTTGCTAGCTGGGCTATTTCTACAATATAAAAACAAAGTACACTATATTTTAAGAGCACAGTTTGAATATTTATTAAAATAATGGGCTAAAAGACAGAGGGTGCAATGTTTTAACTGATACAGGGAAATACAATTTACTTAAGGCATAACACTTTTGAAGTTCAACTACATCTTCATTTAAATTGGGGTAAGAACTAATAATACAAAGTCACGCTAATGAAAGTAATAGTTAAAAAAATGTATTTGTAGTGCCACCTCCCTGATAAAATTTTAAGGTGGTTGGAAAAGAGGAAATGGCAAAGATCTCCACCTTGCCCCATTTGTCCAGCACTAGTGTACCTCCACTGAGCGCATATCAGGATCCAATCCATAGTATGTACATGTCAATATTGGGCTATTGGCCTGATCCAGCAGGCTGCTCTTATGTTCTTAAAGAGCCCGGTGGATCAGGCCAACAGTCCATCTAGTTCAGCATCCTGTTCTCACAGTGACTAAACAGTTGCCTATGGGAAACCAACAAGCAGGATTTGAGCACAAGAGCACTCTCCCCTCCTCTGGTTTTCAGCTGCCTCCAACGGTGGAGGCAAAGTATAGCCATCCTCACATCAGCTTTAAAAAATAGAACACAAAGGAAACCATCCCATAACAGCAAAAACCAATTGATAAACTAAACACACACACACAGAAGAAATCATTAATACAATCCAAGTCAAGAATGAATGTAGGTGTTTCTTTTAAATCAAAGCCAACAAGGCCACCTACAACAACAATAAAAAACTTTGTATTAGCTTTACTAGTAAGTTAGAAAATATGGGATTTTATCATGGAACTGCTGAGAGTGAGTTTTCCCATCCGCTTTTTTTGGCTTGGCAAGACCTAAGCCATTAATGTACTTTGACAACCTTCTCAATCCAAAAATTATATTCATAAATAAGAAAATTAAAATGGTTCCGTTTTAAACATTACTTTTGCAAAATAACCATTATCTGAGAAACCCACATTATTTGTAAACAGTAGGTAGTAATGGAATGAAACCACGAGTCAGCTTTTGAAGCAGGAAGTTAAGGAACCATTTTGCAATGCCTGAAGACATTTTTTAAAACTCATCTAAATACCATTAAACATCTGCTTTTTTATTCCATTGATTTAAACCATTTCTAAAGACTCATGATTCAAAAAGGTAAAGATGGTAATTTAAAAGCCATGGGGAAGCATTTCACCCCAGGGAACATTTCTGAAATACAACAACCAGGCTCCAATAAATGATGAATCTGTTGTGCTATTGCTTTCAGTACAGTATAGGTTATCTGGCATTATCTTGAAGTACTGCATGCATCATTTCACTTGAAGAAAAGATACTTTAGAAACTATAACAAAAAGGAGGAAAAACATAAAGGCTGAAATCCTAAGGACAATTACTGGAAAATAAATTTCATTGTCGTATTAAGAGGCTCACTTGCTTACAACTGAAAATATATCCTTGTTATAAACTTGTTTTTATAAACTTAGTCAGCTAGAGCTGACCTGATACTAACAATGAAGGTAAAAGGTAAAGGTAAAGGACCGCTGGATGGTTAAGTCCAGTCAAAGGCGACTATGGGTGTGGCACTCATCTTGCTTTCAGAAGCCAGCGTTTGTCCACAGACAGCTTTCTGGGTCATATGGCCAGAATGACTAAACCACCTCTGGTGCAACGGAGCACCGTGACGGGAACCAGAGCGCACAGAAACACTTCCCGCCACAGTGGTACCTATTTATCTATTTGCACTGGCATGCTTTCAAACTGCTAGGTTGTCAGAAGCTGGGACAGAGCAACGGGAGTCTCCCCTATAGTTTCATAAACGTGTTTTCTTTCATTTCAATGTGTCTGAATTTACATACCACCAAAATTATTAACAAGCTTCAAAATCTGCAGATGGGATCGCATGTTTCTTTAGATAACTTTCAGAAGTATGCAACAGAAAGCACCACTGCATGCTAACGTTGTTGTAACATGCATAATTACAGTACAATCCTATTGAAAAGTCCAATTTTGTTTTTATGGTTTTAACATTAAAAAGGCAAGTGGGCTTAAATCACTGTTTGATTAGCCTGAAGAAATGAAACCTTGCAATAAATTAACCATATGGATAAATTATTTAAGAATCTGTATGCAAACAGGTACTGCATGTTTTTGAGGGGAAGTCAAGCTGTCCTCATCCTTCAAAAATACTAAAGAATACTAAAGAAGGTCAATAAGTGGTGTATTTCCATGTTCTATCCCCACGTGCCAACCAGAGGATTGTTTTAAACCAGGGCAATTTGCTATACTGATTTAAATAGGCAAGAAGACTAACCTAACTGTTTCCCATGGGAGGTTAATACATTTCCTAGAGAGGAATGCATGCCATATTTAATGTTTTGGTATAAAACTAAGTAGTCAATAGCAACCTAGGACCACAATCCAAAAGCTTTGGCTATGTAGTCTATATGTCTTTTGTTCTGAAGAATTGTATCTGCTTAGATACAGATTTCTGTGTGGCTCGTTCTATATAAATACAAGGATAGAGAGTGTGATCACTTACTTAAATGTAAGGCTGAAATTCTATGCACACTTACTTCATACCTCTGGACTGCCCTGAAATTTTCTTTTAAATCAGATTAACATACAAAAACCCATCTCAAAAGCGTTACTTTTATCTATGTTGCTACCCCCTTTACTATTGAGATTTGACCAATGACTTCTTTCTGGTTCTCTGAGTGAATCATATTAAAATTATCCAGACTATCCAAGAATGTTTTGATATGCTCTAACATAACTTATATTCACATCATCCTTTGTTTATCCTGCCCTGTGACTTGACCTCACCTGCAGCTGTACCTGCTTTTCTCAAAACCACTAAACGTCGCACCACAAATTTCCACCATGAAAACATTTAATGAGGGATGGCATTGAGAAGCTCAGTCGTATCTTCCTTTATCAGCAATGCACCTCCTGAGATGAAAAATGAACTGGCTTTATCCTTTATCTTCCTTTTTCTTCCTAACAACTTGCTATTTTCTAACACTTGATAGATAAAATATTATATATTTTATTCCATGCTGTTTGTACATCATTATAAAGATTGAAGTAAACTAGATAAAGAAAGTAGAACCAGCTAACATAATAAACTTGATTTAAGAGCTGTAGTCCATGGCATTCTCATACCTTCCAAAGGATCCTTATTCAATCCCAGTTGACTGATAATATATCTAGGAATGTCAGTTTTAATGCCCTGTCCCTCTTTTGCATGTCCTTCAGCAGCTTCAAGAAGATAGTAAAATTCCTCAGGATCAAATTCCTAGAAACAAAAGAAAAATCACTGCAGAGATCTTCTGTGTTTACTTAATTTGGTTGCAAGTCATTAAGATGCCTTTCTTATGATAACAATTTTGATGCATAGCATCCCCACATGCTACAAACACCACCACTGCCACAACAATTGTGGAATGGCTTATCATTGCAGTCAAAGGGAAAGAACAACAAAATCTAAACTTTAGAGAGTGTACAAATTCCTCTTATTTCAGTTTTATTCTAGCAGATTTCACATTATTTCCCTTTTGCAATTCAAATGTTTCCGTTCATATATATTTGTGTATCGTGCACAGCGAGTTCTATGGTTTGGGGCAATGACTAAATATAGACTGACTGAAGGCAGCTTTATTGATTACAGCTTGCCAGAATTTTGCAACGATCCAAACACTAAGCAACCTGTTTGTTGGCTGACGTTGCTGCCCCCGTCACCATCCTGAGCGTAAATCTTCAGGGAGTTTTCTGACTCCTAAGCCTACTATGGTCCCTTCTGAGGGTTCTATGAGCAACCTGGGTATGTTGTGGCCAAAAGCAGCTCTCCAACCTGGGGCCATAGTGTGACTCCCGCAAGACTTCTTATGGTGATCCTCCTCAGTGCACTATTGATCCTGCCTCTCCTCAATGCTCACAAACAAACATGGTGACAAGTTAAAGTTCTATTAACACCTATGACTGATTACTGATATGGGGAAGGCAAAAACCTTTCAGTGCCAAAGCCAGCTGTAGACACACACTCTCTCTCTCCCACAAACCCCCAGCTAATCATTTTGTGATGGCACTGATGTATTGAAGGTGATTTATTGTTCTCCATTTTTATCAGTCTGTTTCATCAAAACCACCTCTCCCTCTCTCTTTCAAAACAGAAGACAGTCCTAAAATGGAAGTGCATACAAGACTCCTTAAAGGGATATCTGTGACAGCAGTCGAGGCTGATGTGCACTGGGTAAGAGCCACCTAACAGCTGATGCAAAATTTCTTTGCTCCTTATACACCCCCATCATGCTCCCACTTACTTGCCTTTTTCTAAAACGTTGTAACCTTTCCTCATACGATTTAAGTCTCTTCCAGCTATACTGAACTGCTTTTTCGTTTTGTTTATTTGTATTTGTACTTCCATTATTTTTATTGCATTGCTTTGTTTGAATTACTTCGATAAAAATTGTAAAATAACAACTACCACTACTACCACTACTATTACTACTACTACTACAGGCCATAATGGTTATGCAACACCTTTTTTCTGCTGCCCCCACCCATAAATGGGTGTGGCAGGGAAATCTCTAGGCACCATTTCATCCCTAAATTACATTGTGAGGAAAATATTCGTGCCTAATAAACTTGGGACAAATCTGATTTTATATAGTATTTGTTTGGGAAATTTAGCAGGCATCCATTAAAATAATCTGATTTAAATGGACCCATTCCAAACCAGACCACTAGAGAATTCACCTATCGCTCCTAATAAGCTTTCCTCACCATGACCCTCATCCCAAACACCTATAAATACATGAAGTGATAAGCCACTTGGAGCTTAGTAAAATATGAGGCTGGCTGCAATCTTTTTCCACGGTAAGCAACTGATTTCACGGAGACCTGCAGAGTGTCTCCCAAACAGGTATATAATCATTAATCTAAAATATAAGAGCATGGACTTCTGGCATACAGGTAATAATACACAGAAACCTATGCTTGCGAAGAAATAAAACCTTAACTTTGAAAATGTCAAAAGATAAACAAAGGGTGTAAAAACACTACACACCTACCAGCCAAAGCACTATCTTTCAATAAACCAATAGAGTAGATAAAGCAGAACATATGCATTCAATCCACAGACCACGTGGTTCAAACATTTGCATTCTATTTTCCTAGCTTTCACTCACTTGCTCCCAGAGATCAAGAAAGGCAAATAAAAACAATTTTACCAGTATTGAATGCTTACACAGTATCCCAATCTAAGCCTGCAATTCGTTGGTGGGGGGGGGACATACTAAAAATGTACTAAAAGCAACAATATTGAATGAAAAGCACTCATTCATTGCAGCCCTTCTACTGACCTTCAATGGCAACCCAACTGATTAAAATAAGCATAATCTTACCAAACATTCCAGTAAGCGAGCAGGACGTGCTATGACAATAAGAATCTTTCGGACGAGCTGCTTAATAAATGCCAGTTCTCCACTTTCTGATCGTTCTTGGGCCTGATAAAGAAAAAGAGACTTGATGTTATATACGGACATAGAGAAAGAATTAATATGACAAACCAAACGTAATACAGTGAAATGAACTGTATATTCTTCCAACACAATCATTTCTACAGTCACATGGGTTACCATCTCAACATAGCCACCATGTTGACACAAGTAATACCAATGCCTCTGTTGTTAAATGCACGACCTGTGTCTGTGTGTGGGTGTGTGGGTGGGTGTCCATCCATCTCCTATGTAAGGGGAGCATCTTAGTGCAAGTACAAGAGAAAGCTTAGTAAAATAGTCATGCTGTAGAAGGAAACCCATAGTTGGTACACATATTTGGCAGATTAGTTTTAAGAGGGCTTGTAAGGAAATGGTTTTGTGAGGAGTTCTTCTTTAATTTTGTTTTTAATGTTATCATAAGTTGATCTGGATTTACTGAAAAAACAAGGATAACATTTATAGGTAAGTCATATAGCTAAATCAATGCTAACTGTTTGGTAGCTCAGCTAACTCCAAACCATATTAATGCAGGCACCCTACCACCCCAAACAATGAACTGTAATGTCAGGATTGACAGTACAAACTAGTTAGTTCTTACATTTGAATCTCGCCTTTACTATGTGCATCTCAGGGTGAACATCTGTCCAACTGTATACATGTGGTAGAAATATGAACTCAGTTCATTAAGAATCACTGCTGGAATAGCATAGGTGCTGGATTAAAGATTTTTTTATTAAAAAAAACAACCCCAACACTGTATGTTTATGTGCTCACAGATTATGTTTAGCAAAGCAATCTATGGATGGAATCTTGCTTCTGCACATGGACTGCCACTGCTGGATGTGAGCAAATTTCCTTAGATCTGAGCTGTGCAATCATCTGCCTTAGGAGTAAACATTTTACCTCTATCTGTGGAAGCAGCAGCAAATAAAATGTACATGGGGGGAAATAGCAGGTGAGTAATCTAAGCAGAATTACTGGGATGGCAAATTCAGTAGATGATCAGAAAAGAAATTGAAAGTATAATGTGAAAGAATGGGAACAAAAAGAGCACTTTTTTGAAGAAAGAAAAAGCTTGGGAAAGAAATTGCAAGAGGTTTTGTACTGCATTCCAAATTTCTTTCAAACTTTTTTTTGTCTAGTAACAAAGAATAGACTTTCAGAGACCTAATGAATGCAAAGAAGCCATATGTTGCTTCTCCTGTCTGAAGGATATTGACGCTCCTTTGTTCATATCGCAAAAAAGGCACTTCTTTGTCTGAATAATAGAAGCTGCAGGATAAAGTTCAAATTACATTCACAACTTATTCTCCAGTGTACTGGTAGATATCCACGAGTGTGAATCTGAATCAATCCAAGTTAGATGGTTGATTGCATTACTAGAGACTTACTTTTCAAAATATTTTTTTACTTGTGAGTTAAAATCCCATACATGTTAACTCTTAATTAAAACAATATGAAAAATTAAGTTCAGGATAGGTTTCTTAAACACCTAGTAGTTTAAAGGCGGTATGTATGGATTATTGCATTTTATTGTATGGCAAATTTGAAAGAAGAAACAAAACGGGAGAATTGATTTTCACTATTCCAGTCTAGCAAACATTAGTATGTTGAATGCATTACTATTTGTATCAGATGCTTAAACCTGCAATCCTAGGTGAGCTTGTGAACAAAAAGATCCCAGGAAAGTAAAAGGAGGTTGCTCCAAGAAAACATTAAACTCAAATTGACCTTGACCTTAATACAAATATGTCAGCTAAATCAAGCTGCTCAGATGCCCTGTGACTTCCCTTAGCCATGCAAAGCAATAACAATGTGCCAAGCAGCAGGAGACACAGCCATCCACTGAATGTCACAGCTGGGAACTGACAACAATTGCATCATCAGAAGCCCAAAGTGTGTTCCCACAATTTAGTTCCAGCAAACAGCAGGCATTCCTGCAAAGATTTATGTTGAAATGAACACTATAAAGGTAGCAAAAATGGGAGTTTTCATACTTGGGAATAAAGGACACCTAAATAAAAACCACAAAAGCTCAGTTTGAGCTCAAAGATACTGTTTAAAAGTATACTTTGGAATCAATTTTCTTATCAATAATTTAATGTTACCAAACATCGTGCAAACCCAAGCCTTTTTCAAAAATCCCAAAATGTTCTTAAAAACTCCAGCATTATTCAAAAACCTTATTATTTTTGCTAACATTTTAATAGCACATGACCATGGACAATTCAGAAATATTATTTCACATTGTACTTGGACAGAAGGCATACCCAAGTCTGTGATACCTTTAAACTACATGTAATAATTATGCCTGTACTCAACTTCATCAAAATGTTCAAGATTTGTTAATACAGTGAACAAATTCACAGATGAGGACCAATGGTCTCTTCCCTCAAGCATGTAAATGACATCAGGTGTGATATACCTAAGCTGATTCATGTAAAATGGAGGTCTGCCTTCTGAACTAGGAGAACATGCTATAAGACAGGGGTCGGCAACCTAAGGCCCATGGGCTACAAGCAGCCCATGGGGGTTGTTTAACCAGCCCATGGACCCCCGCCGCCCGGTCAGTCGGCTCCCGTGCACCACGCTAAACGAGCGCGGACCAGAGCGGGGACAGCCTTCCACGACACTAGTCAGCTTCCCATTGGCTGCAGGAAGTTCCTGCACCCAATGGGAAGCTGCGCATGCCTCCTCCGCACCAGAAGGAGTGCCAGAAATAGGGTTTGCGCGTGCGTGCATGCAGCACACACACTCCAGCCCACTGCGGCATTTGCGGGACTGTGGATCAGCCCAAGCCACAAAAACTTTGCTGACCCCTGCTATAAGACATGTATCATGAATGCTGCCTTGGCCAAAGCATAAAAATCCACCTTATAAGGCTTTAAAAGATACTGGGACTAACCCATGTAGCCAACTGATTGACTTTCTGCAGAAGCACATTTAAGGAAAATGCTGCTGGAGCAGCTGCTGCTCTTGCTGAATGAGCAAAAATCTTGATGGGTGGAGGCAAATGAATGATGCAATTATACACTTGGAGCCACCTTGCCAACATGGTGGATGGAGGAGGCTTTCTTACCCAAGGAGTGAAAAATACTAAGAGGAAATCTGGCTGGTGGAAGGGCTTGGTACATGTAATGCAGATTTTCAATACCTTCTGTAAGTCTAATGAATTTCACATTCACATTCTTTTGTATAGCTTTTCCTTAACCACACAGTTATTACTAGATTGGATAAAATTAGCCAAAATTATTAGACTGGACAAAATTAAACTTGGATATAATATTCCTTTTGTCTACGACAGAGGAGAGTATAAGACTATTTCATCTGAGGCACAGAGGTACTGCCTAAGTTACATTCTAGGATAAAATAAGCTAGCTTTCAGATACTTCATATACCAATTATATAGAGTCATATGCTTTAAGGTCCCTTAGACAACCGCGAAGGTCACTGAACTGACCAGACCCACTTAAAGAGCTGTACGTGTCTTATGTATTTATTTTTATAGGTCAGTTGCCATAACTATCTCCAGAGCTGCATTTTCTTCAACTAACGTATCTCAGCAATTTCTAAACCATATTTATGTGGTTCATACCTCTTGTAGGAGCTTATCCAATTTGTGCTGTAACTCGAAGAAGTATCGTGAGGTGATGAGGCCCTGATGAGATTTATCCAAGCAATCACGAGCCAGCTCAATGATCTGGTGGTGGGTGAAACTGAGAACTCCATCTGCCAAGGGAAGGACGTTATCAGGAGAGTGGCTGGTGATAATCTCCTGAAGTCGCTCTTCCATCTGAGCAGTAGCCTATCAAAATAAGTTTTATGGGTTTAATCAAGAAGCTATTAAACATACTTCAGATTTAAATTAAAATCCTTGCAAGACAAAATAGAAGTTTACTGAACCTGTAAACTTACTTGATTGATTGATTGATTGATTGATTGATTGGATAGTTGCTTTATCTTGCCCAGGGCAACTCAAAGCAACTTACAACCAACCAACCAGGCAACAACCCCCACATAGGAGAATAAAGAAATGCATCAAAAAGAGACAATGCATGTACTTTTGTAACCAAAGGAAATCTTTAATAAATTTATTTAAATATATATCCTGCCCATTTCTAAAAAGGCCACAGATGGTGATCATATAGGCCATACATACTAGCCTGGCTTTCACGTTACATGAAAACATAGTTTAAAATCAACTATGGTTTAATGTGAACAAGCAATGTGCTTGTGCACGTTACTCTAAAGTTCTTGTGGCACTCCTCTCCTGTTTGTGCTGCTACCACACAGAGGGCAAAACCAGCCAGAGTCTGACTTGTCATGTAGTCCAAAGAAGGGTCTTGTGGTTTGTTTCCTCCAAACAAACCACCAGAAGTAATCACTTTAGCTTGTTTTAGCTACAGTGCAGAAGGAGTGGGGAAAGAGTATCCTGCAAACTTTTGACCAGCATACAACAGCACACTGCTCATTCACATCAAATCAGCTTCTTTTAAACTATGGTTTAATATGGTGTGCAAACTGGGCTGTAGAAAGAGGTAAAATTTTATCCCTCTTTCAAACGACCTGGCATTTATTTAAGAGATTTATACTCTCTTTAGAGGAAATCCTCCACAAAATGGACTGTAGTACATTATAAAACCTTTTAAAGCACATAGTCAAGTCAGCGAAACAAACAACATTAAAACCACTAGCATAAAGCAGTAACAACCATACTCCAGTTAAATGCAGTTAACTCACCAATGCACAAATCAAATGTTTTGAGAGAAGATGGGTTTTTAAAACCTCCTTTTTAAATTTAAGACATGGGTCTTCCTGAATGTTAGAGGAATTCCATTTCATAATTGTACAGCAATCAAAAAAACCTGTTACTCTGATAATTCAATACTAATAATATCTACACTAAAAATAAACATATATTTCTAAAGCACACACTTGCAAAAGTTGCTTCCACAAAGTTATACATGCTGCTTCCACCAGGATTCCATGTATTTGCAAGGAACTATCTGGGCTGTGTGTCCTGTCATTGCATCTTACACTGCCAAAGAACTTTCTAGAAAGTTATGTACCCTGTGTAACTGTTACCATAAAACCAAAGCTTTTTGGAAAGCGACAAGAACTATAATGCAACTTTGGCATGATTGTTTCTGAGATCAGTTGCAGATCAGCTGACAAATATTTTAAAGAATATTGTTGCTTTATGATAGCATTTTTGGCTTAAATTAATCTGATATACCAAATATAACAGAACACCTTTTTTTAGAACACAGATTTCTTATCAAGGTCAGCTTTAGAATGCAGTGAATATTCATCTTTACCTTTGGGAATCTTTCTTTGTACACATGGTTCATCATAATGATTTCATGGTCACAGCAGGCAGGAGAACGTCCAGGGCTGCAAGTAAAGCAAAGCCAATCATCCCTTGGATCTTGTACTGAATGAACTGAAAATGAGGTCTATAATTTATGTACTCTCTTCTGTAGGCAGTCAGTATTATTATTACTACAGGACAAGTGGGGCTGCAACAAAATGTGGCAGAGTGAATAGGTCTTAGTCACTGTTCCAGTCTGTCTGCCATGCCTTCCTCTGCAATACTCCATTCTAGTCAACCCTCCAACCTGGTTTTCTGTCCTGTCCCCTGTACCTTGCCATGTCAGCCAGCTTGACCTCTGAACATGCTTTTTTGTAAACTGCTAAAAACAATGTTTTCAAGAGCTGGGAGTCAGTCCACTCCCAGTTTCCAGAGGTGTAGGCATGTTTGTTTGCTGCAGCAAAATCAACAGTGTCTTGTGACATTTTAAGACTAACTTAAGACTAATTTGCTAGTCTGAGGGGCATAATATTTCTGAACTCAGTCCTAAATACTGCAGATGCAAAAGGCTGCTTCCACCTTTCCTACTTTATAAGAAAAGGGGAACGAGTGAGTATGTATTTCCTAAGGCTAGGCACCTGATATGCGCCTTGTATCAAAATAATTTATGTGGGTTCTGAAACTTTATAAAGCAGGTTTACATGACCTGGGAAAACAGGTTCTAGTACACACACATCACTAAATCCTCATCAACTATCTTTAAAGTAGAATCTCTGCTCTGTTTTGTTAGGCCTATGGCCAAATTTTGTAAGATGTAATGTAATATAATGAAATATAATGTAATGTAGTTGCACTGCATTTTCATTTGGGGGAGGGGACTGTGCAAAAGACACAGAATTTCAGGATAAGTATACATGTTGACTATTGGAGAATTCCATTTTATGCAACAGAGCCTACTGACCTCTGAATAACAGGACCCAGTTGTGACTCTTCCACACCAGCTATGTCACTCTAGACAGGTTCTACCAGCTACTGTCCTCCTCCTACTTCATCCAGAATCTATTTGCTTATTGCATTTTGTCCCCTCTCAAGCCTCTACATGGCTAAGGGAAATTAAGGAGTGGGGGTGGCACAAGAGGAGCAAAGCGCATATGTACATTAGAATGACATGTTTACGCTGACACTAACACTACAACTCACTGTTTTTTTCATATGGAGCTGCTGTTTCATTAAATCTAGAGTGACCACAGCCTCCAGGATACATGCAACACAGTTCAGAATAAAATTTATCCTTCTCAGATAACTGGGAATCAGAAGAATGTAACATTTCAACTCTATGGAGCTAAGGCAGGAAATCTCTGCAAGTTGTAGTTTCTGGAGACACTAGTTTTATATTAAACTAATGCCTTAAATATTTTGATTTAGTTCTGAACAAATGAAAAGATCACCTATATTTCTTTCTCTTTGTCGACAAGCTTCACCTCTACTGAGAACAAGAGAACTTCAAACTCTTGAAAAGAGCAAACCTATCACCCTATAATTTGGTTTCTCAACAAGTAGTCTAATTCTCTACAGATTGTGAATGTAGCTTTTTTATTAATCACCATAATGTACTCAGAACTTTGCGAGAGGAAGAAATTTAAACTAAATACTTTTTTGTCATGGTAGAGATTCTGAATAATTTATGTTGCCACGCAGCACATTTTCGATCATTTTCAATAGATATACTGAGAACATTTTGAAGATTATTAAGCTAGGAAGCAACTGAAATGAAAATTATAAACTTAACTGTGAAGGTCATGATTTCACATTTCCAAGGGCAAGGCTAGTGGAAGACCATTTGAAAACTAATGTGCATTTTTTTAAAAAGCATAAGACACAATTAGCTCTATATTTTACTACAATTCAAACATTAGTACAAGCACACACAAAAAAAACATACTGTTTTATCCAGACTTTCCCTGACATACAATTTTGGACCCTGTTGTATGTTTTGAATCTCCGTATTTATTGTATTGCCTTACTGTTTTTCATGTTTTACATTAAGAGATTTAGAAATGCTTTTAAACAAGGTAACAAAATATAAAACAATGTTATAGTAACGTGCATAAAAAGTATAGTTTCTCATGAGTTTCCACATGAAGGTATCATTTCAATTTCCTGGCAGGTCAACCCACCTCAGGCTTCTGGATCGCGGCCGCATTTGAGTGGTCCTACATCTATTATCACTGGCAATGCTTTCAGTGGCACAGAAATGTTTAGACAAAAAATGTAGTTCGTCTGGAGTTGGTTGGTATGGTAACTGGTGCAACTTCTCTTGGGAGGAACAGGATGACTGCAATAAACATGTGGAAGATAAATTCCTACCATAACCCTAAAGTCATGTTAAACATTTGTATGGATTGTACACAGAATAACTTCCTTATTCCTAAACTTTCTGAACACAGAAAATAAAAATGCAACCTTAAGAGATTATAGAAGCAATAACATCATGCAAACACTTTATATGCATCTGTACAGATACAGCCTTGCAATTTCAAGGACCCTTCCTGTGTATTCTCTCAGCCCTTGGATTTAAAACAGACAAAACTGCTAAGCATATGTATGAAAATAGTATAACATGATCATCCATTAACTACAGCTATCCTTTTTGATTTGCTGTGCTGTAATGCAACTTTAAAGATAATTTGGTGCAGAAGGTGACTTATCAAGATGATGCGTTGGAAAGTTACAGAAGCAATTTTCAGAAGCAATTTTGAGGAAGGCTTATAGCACAGTGGTAGAGCACATCCTTTGCATATGAAAAGTCCCAGGTTCAACCCCTGGTGTTTCCCATGTAGAGCTGGGAATAACTCCTACTGGAAACCTCCGAATGCTGCTGTCAGTAAGGGTCAACGTTACTGAGCTTGATGGACTGGCTTGGTATAAGGAAGCTTTCTATATTCCTATGTTCCAGAATCACTCCACTTAATACACTGTCCTACATGGATATTTACTTTGGTGTAGTAAAGAGGCACATTTGCTTTGCAGAAGGAACACATGATGGGGAACAACAGTTAGTTTCCTTCTAACAGGTTGCTGCTGCTTCTAAATCCTGAGGCAGCAATACTTCACCTTTCTGGAGAAATGCCATACTGAAATTTTCTATCCAGTCTCCAAGCATGTGTTCAGTCAATTATTCAGATTCACAAAGCAAACATCTGTATAAATCTTGAAGACCAAAATAGTTGCTTGCTTGAATATTACTATGAATAGATTTTCTTTTGAAATACTATCCTCTTTGTTTAAAATCTAGGATGAAAAAGCAATGAGCAAAGGAGTTTTCTATTAATTTTACCTTACCTATGCTTACATACAATCCTTAAGTTAAGTGATTTGTGCTGACAGCTTCAGACTGATCAGTTAAGAACAGGCATAGGCAAACTCAGCCCTTCAGATGTTTTGGGACTACAATTCCCATCATCCCTAGCTAACAGGACCAGTGGTCAGGGATGATGGAAATTGTAGTCCCAAAATATCTGGAGGGTCAAGCTTGCCTATGCCTGGTTAAGAAGTGTGAGAAGAGTCATGCTGGATCACGTTACTGGCCCTTATAGTCCAGCATCCTGTTCATGTAGTGGCCAACCACAAGGCTGTGGCAGATTTAGGAGAGTGTGACTGGTTTGGTCACACTAGGCCTGGAGCCTTGGGAATGCCACAACTATGATTTAGAATGGAATATGAGAGGTGGGGAATGCCAGTTCTGGGGGTTTTACAGGGCGCTGCTGAAATTTGAGACCCCAAAATCCTCCACTCCTTGTGGGTAGCCTAGAAGGAGGACCTGAGCGCAACAGCACTCTGCCCACCTACAATTGCCAGCAACTGGTTTTCAGAGGCATATTGCCTCTGACAGAAGAGGTAAAGCATAATCATCACGACTTATAGCCACTGATAGCCTTCTCCTCCATGAATTTATCTAATCCTCTTTTAAAGCCATCTAAGTTGGTGCTCATAGGTCCACAGTTTAAATGTGCACTGTGTGAATAAACGCTTTCCTTTATCTGTCCTGAATCTCCCAATATTCAGCTTCACTAGATGTTCATAAGTTCTGGTTTAATAAGAAGGAGGCAGAAACGTTTTTCTCTACCTATTTCCTCCATGTTATACATAATCTGATAAGCTTTTCTCATGTCACCTCCTATTTGCATTTTCTCTAAACTAAAAAGTTCCAAATGCTACAACCTTTCCTCACAGGAGAATTGCTCCATCTCTTCAATCACTTTGGATGCCCTTTTCTGAATCTTTCCCCACTCTATAATATTCTTCTTGAGGTTTAGAGACCAGAACTGTATAAAGTATTGCGAGAGGTGAGGGAATCCCCCCACCTCCCAGGTAAGCCAGAAGAAGCCGTGCAGCCCTTTTAAAGTGCGCGCGGCTTCTGCCGGTTTTGCGGGAGGTGGGGGAATTCCCCCACCTCCCAGAAAAGCCAGGAGAAGCCGCGCAGCCCCTTTAAAGAGCTCACGGCTTCTGCGGGCTTTTGCGAGAGGTGAGGGAATCCCCCCCCTCCCAGAAAAGCCAGGAAAGCCCTGCGCAGCGTCTCCCGGCAAGGGGAGGCTGCGCGCGGCTAAAGGGGAAGGCAAACCAGCGAGCGGGATCCATCCCGCTCGCTGCCTTGCCTTCTTCCATAGCTGCGCGCAACCCCTCCGCAAGGAGACGCTGCGCGCGGCTAAAGGGGAAGGCAAAACAGCGAGCGGGATCCATCCCGCTCGCTGCCTTGCCTTCTTCCATAGCTGCGCGCAACCCCCCCAAGGAGACGCTGCGCGCGGCTAAAGGGGAAGGCAAAACAGCGAGCGGGATCCATCCCGCTCGCTGCCTTGCCTTCTTCCATAGCTGCGCGCAACCCCTCCGCAAGGAGACGCTGCGCGCGGCTAAAGGGGAAGGCAAAACAGCGAGCGGGATCCATCCCGCTCGCTGCCTTGCCTTCTTCCATAGCTGCGCGCAACCCCCCCAAGGAGACGCTGCGCGCGGCTAAAGGGGAAGGCAAAACAGCGAGCGGGATCCATCCCGCTCGCTGCCTTGCCTTCTTCCATAGCTGCGCGCAACCCCCCGCAAGGAGAGGCTGCACGGGGCTATGGCTTCTTTAGCCCTGCGCAGCGTCTCCCGGCAAGGAGAGGCTGCATGGGGCTAAAGGGGAAGCCAAAACTTGGCTTGCTGCATAGCTGCGCGCAACCCCTCCGGCAGGGAGAGGTTGTGCGCACCCTGTACGCTGCTCTTTGGGGTTGGGGGGGGAAAAGATTTTTTTCTTGATTTCCCCCCCTAAAAACTGGGTGCGCCCTATGGTCCGGTGCGCCCTATGGTGCGAAAAATACGGTATTTCAGTTGTGGTCACACTACAGATTTGTATAACAGCATTATGAGATTGTCATAATGCTTTTTCACAGCTGCCACACACTGGAACTACATCTTTATTGAGCTGTCCACTACAACCCCAAGGTCTCATTCATGGTTAGTCACTACAAGTTCAGACTACATGAGCATATATATGTGTGTGAGAAATTAGAATGTTTTGCATCACTTTACACTTGTTTGCACTGAACTGCATTTGCCGTTTTACTGTCCATTCATTTCTGTTGGAGCATTTCACAATCTCTTTTTTGCTTTAACAAACCTGAACAATATCATCAGCATGCTTGGCTACCTCACTGCTCACCCCTAACTTCAATTCATTTATAAACAAGTTAAAATGCACCAGTTCCAATACCAATCCTTGGGGGACTCCCCTTTCTCCATTCAGAGAACTGCGCATTTATTCCTACTCTCTGTTTTCTGCTAATTACCCACAAGATGACCTCTCCTCTTAGTCAATGACTGCTAAGCTTACTCGGGAGACTTTGGTGAGGGACCTAATTGAAAGCTTTTTGAAAGCCCAAGCATGCTATGCCAACTGGATCAGCCCTGTGAGCTTGTTCACAATCTCAAAGAACTCTAATAGGCTCATGAAACTGGTCTTGCCCTTGCAGAAGCCATGCCAGCTCTGCTTCAGCAAGGCTTGTTCTTCTATATGCTTGGTTAGCTTATCTTAAAAAATACTTTCTGCTGGTTTTCCCAGGCCAGACGTTAAGCAAATTGGCCTGTAATTTCCAGGATCTCCCTGGATGCCTTTTTCAAAATTGGTGTTATATTGGCTGCTTTCCAGTCCTCTGGTATGAAGGCTAATCTGAGTGACAAGTTACATATTTCTGTTGGAAGATCAGCCATTTCACATTTGAGTTCTTTGAGAACTCTCTGGCGAATGCCATCTGGACCCAGTTGGCAATTTGTCAGTTTTTCTTTTATCTATGTTTATTATTCAGAGCCATCTTCCCAATGACAGATAGTTCAAAGGCTTTTTCTTAATTTTCTCAACATAACAGTTTACATGAAACTAGTTTCCAGAAGGTTTAAAACAATAACAGAATATGACAATTTATGCTGTGATCTCTTAACAACCTACCAGTAAGATTAACTGTGGTTCGTATTTTCTTATAGTTATCTAAACGTCACCTAATCTTAAAAATTAGTATGAAGAGCCAGGTTGTACCTATCAAGATATGAATATGTAATTATTCAGGCACCCAAACCTATCTTGCAGTGAAAATGATAGGCTTCAATAGAACATGGATTTACTCCAAGGAAAATGGGCCCCAAACTGTGTGACGGGAAAAATAACTATTTGTATTATAGCTAAGCGATGCATGGAATCCTGCTAAATAAAAATTTCAAAGTGAAAATGAGTTATGGGAGGATACAAAGTACCTTCTGGCATATATAAAATATACTATCATGTTGTACTGTATATTATATGAAGGAAGGGAAATCAACAGTGGTTATAACACACAGTGTGTCTGTTGAAAGAGGGACAATAACAGAAAAAGTGTATTCGTTAGAAATACAGCTCTACTTGAATAGCATTTTTGGGCAGAGGATCAGTGTAAGTTCTCAATTATGTCAGTGAGGCTGCCTTAACAATTACTTTTTAGCTAGCATGCCTGTAACTGTTTTCAAGCACTGCACTTAATTTTTTTCATTCAAGTTCAGCAGACAGCATCTATTGTATGAATTATGAGAAAGGAGGGGGGAAGTGATTGCCAGGAAAAGTTAAAATAGTAAATATTTTGACAAGCATAGTGGGCAACCCAATCAAAATCCTTTAAAATGTTAATAGATGGTATTGCTGGGATAGAGCCTCCCCCTATCTCCCTATAACTCTACCCCAACTGTAGATACTAGTAGAAGTCTACATTATTGTTTAAAATCTTACAAGGGCTGAATCTGAGAATATATTATAAGCAGAAGCAAGCTATCTATCTATCATCTATCTATCTATCTATCTATCTATCTATCTATCTATCTATTGTTACTTACTGAAACAGTTGAGCTTGGAGTATTTGTACCATAGCCAGAAGAGGGGAGAGATGCCAGTGACCAACGTCGTCCATCAGTCCTGTTGGGAATTTGAGTTAAGTCACATAAGACAACTGTTAACCCTACAGTATTATACAAAAACTGTTGGAATAGAATCCATGTAATGTTGTGGTGTACCATGAGGAAATACAGACAAACTCATAAGCAAGCGTTCTTACAAGGCACTTTTTTTAAAAAAGCACATGAAATAATACAACTGTGATGTTTTAGGATATCGGTTAGAGACAATGCAAAACAGGAACAGGATGGAGGAGAGACCGATGCACAACCATGATAGGCTAGAAAATTGAATGTACACGGAAATGTATATAAGATGAACCAAGATTTACAGCAACGTGACTTGCAAAACTAAACATTTTCATAAAATTATAAATTTTGGTAGAACAAAACATTTACCATGTAGGACAATTTCAAATTCTGCTACATGTAGTCCACATTCAGACATAGGACTGCCAACTCAAATTTTCAGCTGGATGAGGCCTAAATACTCTGCTGATGTAACATGTGCAGTTAGTGCCTGTGTTTATAATTCCTCTGCTACAGCACTACCATCCATGTCTAACAGGAGGCTACAACTGTTTCACAGACAAAAGTAGAAAATAACATACACATGATATGCACTGTCTGCATCCAACACAACTGATAGCTCTGTGATTGCTAATCAGTGCCGGGGGGGGGGGGGAGCAGGTAAGCATGCCAGCACAATGGTGAAGAGAGCTCCTTCAATGCTATCTTCCTGGACTCCAGTGGCCTTTTACATTTTTGTGACCCATGTGACCCGTATATGCAATAAGGTTACACAGCGCTGCTTAACTAATAGTTAATCCCCTTTCCCCACCCCACTTTAGCAACACTGTTCTGAGAAAAAGGAAAAACCCTGGCTTGGCTGGTTTGTTTCTAGGCAGTTGGCAATCCTAGTCAGAAATTTACAATCAAATTAACAAACCACAAAAACAGAGTAGTAAGTTTTCATGACAGTTACCTCTCGTTTCGATGCCCATGACTGCATTATAATTGTGCAAAGTATATTTAAAAAACAAATGAAGAAGTAGAACAACAACTTTCTAAATATAAGAGCATGACAATCAGCATAGACAGCTTCAAAATATATGGGGACGTACCCTGCATGGCATTTTGCAAAAGATCTTCCAATTTTACAACAGATGTAAAAAAACCCCACAACTCTGGAGTGGGGGATCTGTGGTACTCCAGATTTTGTCAGGTTACAACTCACATAACCCCTGATCCATAACTATGGCAGCTGGGGCTGATGGGAGTTGGGAGTCCAACATAAGGAGGGCCTCAGGTTCCCCATCCCTGACATAACTGAATGATGCAACTTCGTTGTTTATTCAAGGCCCATTCTCTATCTTTTACTCAACTTTGGTCAGTGCAATGATCTGCTTCTATTTACACAAACACCCTGTTGATGATTTTTTTCATAATGCTACAACAAAGTGGTGTCAGACCAAGGCGACTTCTAAAGTGGAAGTCCCATGAAGTCCTATTTCCCATGAAGAAATAGGGAGATGCCAGTCGTGCTACGTTTCCAGAGAAGGCCAGAAGAGCAACCAGTGGCATCCATTCAGTAATCGGATGTATGAACTTTTGCTTATTAGAAATTTGTTGTGTTTTAAAGAAAACTGCTGTGCTGAATAGATCAGTAGTTCCCAATTTCCCCCCCTGTGGACCACTTGGTTGCTGAGGGTCTTGGTGGACCACTTAATTATTTTTCTAGTTGTTGGAGCAATTGTAACGTGCTGTGCTAGATGTTGTAATGTTTTTAATTGTATCTTTACAAGCATGCCAAAGACCATCTAAATGAAATTAATGGACAACTGATGGTCTTGTGGACTAGACAGTCACCCCTTTCATGTTACCATACTATGTTTTTTGCTCTGCCAACTTTCTCACTTGCATGGTATGAGAACTAAGTCTCATATTGTGATGTATCCTCACATGTATTTCAGGATCCTTACTATATGCACAGCAGTCAGCTAGAGTGATGACAATTTTACTCATATTGCAGAGGGGTAAATAGAAGGGAGTGCTGGTATAATGGCACTTTGCCACTTCTAGCATGCTCATTAAGCTATGAAAACAAAGCAATGAAGAAAATGCATTGCGTAAGACTTGCTCTAATCTAGAAGGCGGGGGAACGAAAACCTCTTTCTAAAGAACAGATTATTTCCTCACTGAAAAATAGATTGTTGCCGAAAGTAGTAATTCAGAGAGAAACATTTCTATGAGCACAAATATATAATGTTAAATATTTAAAACACATATCCTAAACACGTAATGACAGTAGTTAGGTAGACTTTTTTTCAGATTTTTGAGATGTACAGTTCTTTTAAATGAGCAAAGTTAGGATGAACCAATTACTTTTCATTCCCAAAACTCTTAGGTTGTGCATAAGATCCTCTGTTTTATTCTATGAGCAAGGCAAAACTTAGTCTTTACAATGGGAAATTCCTATATACAAATAGAAGAAGGGGTAACTCCTGCATTCCTGGCTTTGAATTTTGCTCATGGTAATAGTTACAACTCAGAGAATCAATGCAATTTATTATGCTACAGTTCTATTTTTTTCCTATTGGTATTTCCTCTGGTGTATAAAACTGGCACACAATGTAAATTAGTTTTCAATCAGCTATTCTGAAATACATAGTAGTGGTTTATGTTTCTGAACAAATATGAAAAGAAGATGGAAAATAAATTGGGAAGGAATAGTATATCCTTAAAGAAAATGTTGAAAGAATAGAAACTGCAAGATAAATCAATCAGAATTTTCAAATAAATCTGTATATAATCAAGATGTAACATTTTATGCATCTGTCCCTCCCAACATTAATACTTATATGATTTCTATAAGGCCGTGACAAATGGAATTGTATTCAGGTTTGTGGCTTTCTTCTCACTCCAATCACCAAAAAAAGAGAAAGGATCACAGGCAAAAACTGCAGGAGACTGCAGTTATTTGGAGAAGAGGTATTTCTTACCCAGGCTACTGAATCCACTAGAGAAAGTGGGGTCATTGTCCAGCATTTGACAATTATCATGTTCAAACATTCCAGTTTTAATGTTATTTTCACATCTATTTATGGTTGCCGAGACAGGTGGGGAGGAAGGTGTGGCATTTGAACTTCATGCTACATATCAGCTACACTGGTTATCTGTGCATGCTTCAGATAACAATTTTTTAGAAACCCCTGGTTTCCTTTATATAGAATGGGTTCATTTTCTGATACAGCTGAGTACCCATTAACCAACCCGCAATGTATTCACAAGTAAATGTAATCCTATGCTTCGGATTAGTCAAATACTTCAGGTGACCAACAGATCACTTATACTGATGCAATAGTACTATACAATCACAAATGCATCTTCCAAGAACTATACAAAAATTAATCCTCACAAAGGTGTTCCTGGGTAGACAAAACCTAGCACTCTCTTCAGGGTATTCATTGGTTCTTTTACATTCTAACCTCTGAGGTACTATGCCAGATGAGGCAGGATCCACTCTTTTTCTAACACAACTTTCACTCTGTCTTATTTTCTGGATTTTGTTCTGCTAGGGGCATCTTCATCAGTAGAGTCACCCTAATCAACAATGGCAGCTCTTCTCTGGGTGACTCACTACACAGCATTGTGGCTTAATTAATAGTTCTGCAGAATGACAATGTAGTGACAATCTCTTTTGACAGATTCCCATACTGTACTCCACCCCAGTTGGCTCCTTTCAGTGTAGTAGGAAACTGGTTTTGGAAATCACTGAGGTAGATAAACTCCTTCAGTATTTCCCATAACAACACACGTATCATTACAGTTGTGGAAGAGCTAGTTTGAAGTCAAAGGACTCTCTCTCAAGATGCCGCATTAAATAGCACATACCAATTTATGAGTGGAAGGTTTTAGAATGTACTGATACCTATCATGAGAAGTGATGGACACTCCTTCCTTGGAGGTTTTTAAGCAGAGGTTGTATGGCCATCTGATCGAGGTGAGATTCCTGCATTGCAGAAGGTTGAACTAGATGACCCTCAAGGTCCTTTCCAAGTCTACAATTCTGGGTTTCTATAATTCACTAGTACAATTTTGCAAAGGCTGGATTACAGGCCGTTGTAAATTCTATACGTATTTTCTAGTCTTTTTAAAATTATTTAAGTTAAATTAAATTAAATTACTACGAAGGAAGGGAAAGAGGTGATAATCCTGGTTCTTATATAAATGAACTTTAGATATTGCAAGAAATTAGCAGTATCAAGAAGCAAGTTGCGAAGACTATTATAAATTGAATTGCATTTTAATGCAACATATATTGGTGTTTCTTACCTCCACCAGCATATTATAAATGCATAAATGCAAAGTGAAGCATGATTCCCAACTATTAATTATGACACATCAAATACACACAAACCCATCCTACCTTCGTGCAAAAGAAAAGTGGGCTGAGGCACTAGGAGAAAAATTTCTAGGGCTATCTTGAGGACTGCTCCCTGGTGAGAAACAGAAGAAAGTAAGAAAATTATTTAAAGTGTCATACAATCATAGTTAGACTCAGTGAAAATCCTCAGACACCTATTTTGCTCTGATTATCATTTGTTTGTATAGCACTTAATGTGTATCGTGCTTAATGACAAAGTTGGTCAAATAGTGTAACCTTCAAGTTCTATTCCAGCCATATACATTGGCTCACCTTGTGCTGCCCTGACTGCTTTTGTTATGGAGTGGCATATAAAGTAAGTAAATAAAATATAATTATCTAAAATGTAAATAAAATGGAAGCTAGACTCTTAACTTCCATCCTGCTTTCCATCTGTGGTTCTCTCAATATATTTTTTATGTGTTTATTATTTTATTCATTGAATTTGTATACCACCCTTCATCTAAATATTTAAATATAACATAAAAACGTAATATATAACATAAAAATACAAAACGAGAACACAAAAGACATAACAAAAAAACAAAAACAATTATTACATCATCTCAACCAAAATTAGTTCACCACAGCTACAGAAATATTTCTGTTTGGGGGGGGGGAATATTAAGACTGAAACTCTGCTTTTTTAAAAAAGTATATAAAATATGTATATCTTCTCAATATATCAGCATTTAAGGACATTTGCAATAAACACTGATATCCACAGTTTAAAAATGTTATTTCTCAACATTTTTCTTGCCGCCCCCCTTTTAAAAACCATTCTATATGCCAACAAGCAAACCATGAAAATTAGATAGAAAGTTATTCCCAGGACTGGCAAGACCAAGGCATGGGGAGGTGATCTTAAATGATATGAAGATGTGACTGCTCATTGTGAAGAGAACATTTCCTTTGGGGCCTTGTTACTTTCTCACATTAGACCACTCAACCTGCTGCTGAACACTGAGAAAGCTTGGCAGGCAGCTGTTGAGGGAAAGTTCACCACTATTCCAGCCTGCCTCTCAGCATGCATAATTAGAGCATGTGGTCTGTCTACAGGGGAAACGTAAAGGCGACACAAGCAAGAATGTTCTTTTTATGAGCAGTGGTGTCTGTCAAGAAATACATAATCATCTTTCTAGAGAAACACACAACCCACTAAGTTTTTGATAAGCACACAGTCCAATATATAGAAACAAGATTACACTGTTCAAGGGAATAAAGTTGGTTATTGCACGCAAGGTTCGTCTTTTTCTATTTGACAACATTATTTAGTTTTAAAGGTAGCAAATAATTATCCAGTGTGTGTACTAAAGAGTAATACACTGCAGATGCTTAAACAGTAATTAACCAGTGGTCATAATAAACACTAGAGTTCTACTAGAAAATGTTAATTATTCAACTACTGTATAATTATTCTATTATAGTCATTCCTCAAGATTAATTTTGGTCATCAAAGCAACTCTCAGAGGTGTTCCGGGCTCCATTAACCAATTTGGTGTCGACACTCTATGGCCCACCCTGAAGGGCTCTAATGGCTGATTACGCAATGAAGTGATGGAAGCAGCAAAGTTGGCCCTGCTCACTGCCCACATGGTTATGTGCTCCAACACACATTTGGTTTTCTTCATAGCAGGGCATTCACCACCTGTGTTCTACATTGTTTAGCCTGTTTCATAGCACATCTCTCCCCAGTATACCAGGGGCAGAGAATGTGTTCCATATTCTCAGAGAGGACACTCAGGAGTGATTGTACTTATGGCCCTTTGCATCGTGCCATTTCACAGCAAGATGAGGGCCTCAGAAGGATCACCAGCTTTATCCACCAGAAAAACCCCCAGAATGGTCAGGAATCCATCAGAATCCATAAGTTTTGGGGGTTTGACCATCCTAACTGGGGGCCCACCTCTGAAGGGAAAAGTTGGTAACATCAGCCCACACTTCATTAGAAAATCTTCTCTTGAACTCTTGGGGCAAATAGATCTTAAGCAGAAATCTTATGAGGAAGATGCTTGGAAGAACACACATCCCTACAGCTGAAGATTTGCTTTTGCTGAATATATTGATTTTCTTTTAAAACTTTATTGCCTTTGCCAGTCACTAAACTCAATATTTAGATGCAAAAGAGTTCACAGCATGTTGCACAGCTGACTCGTTTAAGTATTCAAATAACTCAAACAGAGGGCAAGAAAACCCAGAGACAATAGGAATAGGAATCATACTGCTGCCACAATTTAAGGCGTGGCATTTCAGAAAAGCAACTGGAGTCTCATCTGTGACCTTCATCGCTCACAGCATTTCTCTCAGTACTCATCCACCTATCTGCAAGTCAATACCTGAGAGGCTTTCAAATGACAACCAGTGCCAGTTAATTCTCTGCCCATATGTGCACTGCTTCCTTATTACTCAAATTCTGCTGTTCTCAGGGATTTTGCTGGCTGTTTCAGCTTTCACACATTTCATTTGCTGTCGAGACTACTACTGACGTTTCTGGCCAGATAAAGTAAACCTGATTGGTAGGGTCAGGCATTATATAATTAACACTACAATCTCCAGGGAGAGGCAAACACTGAGAGCGAGTAATCCGTATTTCAAAATACTGTATTTAATGGCAATATATTAGGAGCTGTGTTGCATACATATTGCATTATGTGAATATATTCAGAATGAAGAGCTTCAGAAATCCTGAAGAACTCTGAGAGAGCAACTATTGCACTGACTATAGATTATTGCTTTAGTGCCTGGAACAAGTGTTTTGATACATAGACGGTACTAAGGGAGATTAATAATAACTGATCTTTAAGATTATACACAGGATCAGTTAGAAACCTTGTTGTTACCACTTGACAACTCTCTTTAATGCCTATCCGCATTTATCACTATAGCCATAAAATATACTAGTAACTACTCAAATTTATTAGTTTGTAGTAATCTGGCAAATTTTATAATTCAGGCAACTAGCCAGGAAGTTATCGTCTCTGTTTTGACACCCTAGAATGTAACTATGCTGCAGATGGCAGAAAAATAATTTTCCAAGAAACTGCCAGATGATTTATGTGGGAAAAGGTTTCAGAATATGTTGCTGAGGACCTACAAGAGCTTGATTAAATGTAGGTGATCCCAGAAGATAACAGAACTCACTACAGGAAAGTTTCCTATCTCTTATATCTGATTATCTATCAGAACATGTAATTTCTGAAAGGAAAATGTTAATTTTTCACTACGTGGCCTTGTGGCACTAGCAGCAGGCTTGCTTTGAAGAAAGCTTTCAATTCAATGACTCCAAACAAGCCCCTGGGAAAGAGTGTTTGGGAAAATTTGAACTTACAGAAATGTTGGTGGCTGTCAGTACAGTACTACAATTTATTTGTATTACATATTTCAGTTGGTCTATGTCTCCTAATGAAAAAAAAGCATAAAATCAGGACTGGAAAATGACAGTTCCCAAACTGTAAATATATTTTTGGTATATAATTTTGTTGTATAGGCATTTTGATTTGGTAAACTTTAGTAAGATTTGCAGTGAAATCAATGTGTAACTTATCAAATATTCATGTTTCAGAGAAGTTCTGTCATAGTACAATTGCTTTAAAATTACAACCATAATGTTATTTTCTTGTCTCTCTTTCTGTCCTCATGTTTTATGTTAATGCTCAAAGACTCCATTCTTTGCTTAAATGTATTTCTGTATGACACTGCTGTCTCTCATTTCTTTCATTTGAATTGTGTGAACTGAGCATTTTATGTGCATGAAGCTTTCAACCCAGAGCTGGAAAAACAGTTCCATTTTAGGAACCAGTATCAATTATTTAGGCGCTAACTGTGAATGGAAATGAATATATATTTGTGATCAGATATCATGTGTGTGATCAGCTATGTAGAATCTTTTTTCTATACAAATGCAAATTGAAAATCACTTAAAACCAAAAGGTTTTTTGTGAAAATGTCAGCTCCACAACCTGATGATACCTTTATTCCCACCCCCACCCCCATGTGCTGGTGTTTTTAACTGGAGAAACACTGTTAAGACTGAGGACCTAGAGAAAGATTAGTTTACTCATCAACCTGTCTATGTACAGCATTAATCTGCAAATAATTTTCAGTCTCTCTGCTATTTAAAATGAGGTGGGCAAGGACCAGAGGGATGGCCTTCTCTGCTGCAGCACCTTTTTAATGAAATTTGTCTGGTCTGTAAGGTAAAGGTAAAGGTACCCCTGCCCGTACGGGCCAGTCTTGACAGACTCTAGGGTTGTGCGCCCATCTCACTCAAGAGGCCGGGGGCCAGTGCTGTCCGGAGACACTTCCGGGTCACGTGGCCAGCGTGACAAAGCTGCATCTGGCGAGCCAGAGCCGCACACGGAAACGCCGTTTACCTTCCCGCTAGTAAGCGGTCCCTATTTATCTACTTGCACCCGGGAGTGCTTTCGAACTGCTAGGTTGGCAGGCGCTGGGACCGAGCAACGGGAGCGCACCCCGCCGCGGGGATTCGAACCGCCGACCTTTCGATCAGCAAGCCCTAGGCGCTGAGGCTTTTACCCACAGCGCCACCCGCGTACCATTTGCCTGAGCACCAGGCAAATAGCTTTTTATTTCCTCTGGACTTTGTTACCTAAGGAATTTTCTGGTGTTGCTGCTGCTAAAACTTACCATTGATGTGTTTAAACCAGCATTAAAAACTTTCATTCTAGTCTGGTTCCACATTGATTGTTGGAAGTGCTAGGGTACCCCAACCCAGTCAAACTATATAATCACAGACTACAATATTTCTCTCTTAAGTCTATGGAAACAGTGGAATTTACCTGCATGAGCTGAAAGTGGCGAATGGGGCCGGGGCATAGCTGGGGACTGTCCATTGCATATCAGACTTTTTCGGTTACTTGTCCGGCAACTGTAGGAAGAGAAGAGAATACTTAAAGTACAAATGGTTCAAATATGCAGCATCCCAACCCTCTATTTAACTCAGAATTACTATCTTGTGATAGGCATTCTGAATTCAGGGAAGGGGAGAAACCCTAGAATTAGACCACACACTGAATGTTAAATGAGTTATATCCCATATATCAGCAGGAGAAAATGCATTAAGGTTAATTATAACCACAATTTTAATGCAGATACTATCCCCAAAGAAATCCACCTGCCACTATGACATTACACTATTAACACTGACATTTTATCTGATACAGAACAACAGTCTTATTTATAATACATAAAAACGTCAGAAAAAAAGATGACCATTTAGAACCACCATTTGATACATGGATTTCCTAATTCCATCCAGGGCAATAATCTATCTATCTTATGATATACTAATTAAAAATCTAATTATTGAAGCAAATTTCACATCTGCGTCTTTTTGTAAATAGTCCAGGCACATCCTACAAAGATAAATGTGTTCTTTCACTCATACATTTTTCATCTCAAGCACTGCAAATCACTATTTTTCTCCATTACAGATAATTATGACATGAATGGCAAACACATACATCTACTAAAAAGCAGGACCTCTGCAGCTTTAAGTGAATTCATACTCTTGTAATTATAATCAAATACACCTAAGAATATCATCTTCCACCTTGAAACACACATGTAAATTATTTCCCCTAAGATAATGAAATTGTGAATGAGCAAAAATGTGTGCATCAAATATGTTAACATTTGAAATACAAATTATTCCATTACAACATCTTCAGAATGAATATAGGAAACTGCCTTATACCAGGTCATACTATTTGCCAATCTAGCCTAGTACTCTGACTGACAGTGACTCTCTGGGGTATCAGGAACTATACCTGGGACATTCTGCAGTGAAAGTATATGCTCTGTCAGTGACCTATGGTCTGCTTAAACTAAGGAAGGGTGAATGCATACATTGAATTCACACTGTAAGTCTTCAAACACATACATGCGCGCACACAAGCAACAAAAATACAAATAGCTCACACTTCTATAGGCAAGGAAATAAAACACTGATCAAGTTCCTGCAGAAGGGTGGTATCCAGCTAAGTCATACTCAGAGTAAACCCGTTGAAGTAAACAGACTTACAATAAATTCATCCTAAATCAATTAATTTCAATGGACCTACAAAGAGCATGACTTAGTTGGATACCACTCAATCTGTTTTTGCGGTGGCATAGTTGTGGAGTTACAACCCATGTAAGCGAAATCAATCCCTGAAGGCCAACAATATGATTTCAATGAGAGAAGACATCTCCCAAATAACACAAATAAAAACCAAACCGAAGTAGGATTTTATCTGCTCCAAAAACAAGTGGTAGATAGGGCTCTGAACATGAGTGTTCTACAGCAGTGGTGTCAGAACTTCAAATGCCTTTCACAAGTTTCTAGCTCCTTAAAGAAACCAAGAGTATTTGAGTACTCTTGTTAAGGAACCATAGTCTACTCAGTACTCCTAGGCAAACATATACCTTCACATATATTTCCTGTAAACTACTTTCACCACTTGGGGATCCAATTTTAAATGTTCAAACCACAGTTTGTTTGTTTTTGTTTTACAGTTCTGCTAAATGAGGACCATTTATCACATTATCGTTTTGCTTTAAAACCCTGCTATATTCAGAACAGCTTATATTTAAATGTCAGGTGTCTATTTAAAAGAAAAGTATGGCATGTCTGTTTCTACATGTAAAAAGACATGCTCCCCTATTTATTTAATTGCCTATTAAATGTTAAAATCAACTTAGCGCTGGTGAGAAAGGTCACATTTGAAACTGAATATTGTTACTAAGAAACTACTAGCAATTCTTATGCCCTCCCCATTTCACACTGTTTCAAACATGGGCTACAATCACTTTGATCATCATTTAGTGGCTATAGGGAAGGCTCAACTAGCTGGGGGTTTTTGCACATTGGATAAGAGGTCATAACAACTCAAACCACCAGCAGCTGGGCAGCAGCCTTCTGTCAAACCCCTCATATTACATGAATATACCAAGGGAGCAGATCAAACACATAAGGACCCATAAATCAATATTTACATACAATCACGTTGCAATGTGGTGCTACTAAGTGCAGCTTTCAAGATAAGGCAATCAGCAGCACAGATAATGGCCCTGTTAGGTATACTACCATTAATGTTTCTTCTTCAGAGAGAGTCGTTTACTATGAATACATGGGTAAATTACTGGCAATAAAGGTTAATTGCTAAAAAGAGCTGGGTGAAAGGAATGTGCTGGCAGCAATTGCTTTTTATCACGCTTTTCACTTGAAATCTGACATCTGTTTTAATCATTTATAATAATTTCATTTTAACATCCTTAATTATTAATATTTACACTTGTAATGAAGATGGATATATGGGCTGTAAACTATTATGGCAGAACCTTTAACAGCATACACTGACTATTGTAATGTATCCCTTAATTTTGTTGTCATTGTAATGTGCTTGCTGGTTGAGCAGAAGATAAAGCTTTAAAAGAATATGGGTCTTTGTATTTGGAAAGCACAACAAATGAAGTGCTTTCTAAACCAATTTTAAATTCCAAATGTCATGTAGGAACACAATATAAAGTGATACAGGCAAGGATGAATGAGTAGAGGATGGAGGCTTCATGCTTTTTTACTATTAAAAATGTACAGCTAAACATCATCTCACAGAGGTAGGCTACCTCTGGCAAGATATGGTATGTGTCCACTTTGTTTACACTAGATAAGTTTACATTATATTCAACATGATGTGAAAGTTGACTTCAGATTTATTTGCTTTGCTAAGCACAGATTCCAGAGTGCCAACTCTGTTTATGGTACAGCAGCCTAAGGTGCAGATGATGATGATGATGATGATATTTATACCCCACCACTCTGGGTGGCTTCCAACACAATATTAAAATACAGTAACGCATCAAACATTAAAAGCTTCCCTAAACAGGGCTGCCTTCAGATGTCCTCTAAAAGTCTGGTAGTTGTTGTTGTTGTTGTCTTTGACATCTGGTGGGAGGGCATTCCACAGGGCAGGTGCCACTACCGAGAAGGCCCTCTGCCTGGTTCTCTGTAACTTGGCTTCTCGCAGTGAGGGAACCGCCAGAAGGCCCTCAGCACTGGACCTCAGTGTCCAGGTAGAACGATGGGGGTGGAGACACTCCTTCAGATCATCTGTTCAACATAGGCTATGAGAGTGACAAAGGACACAGCAATTTTTTTGGAACAAAGCCTCTATAAATCTATTGGCAAAAATTATGCCAACATGTTTGCACCTTTTAAAACTATTTTACTTCAGCATCCTTATTAACTTCAGACAAAAAGGCTTTTCATCTATAAAACAATCTTGAAGCCAATAGCAGTTAAAGCTATTACTAGTTCTAAAAGATTAGCTTAAGTACTACTAGTTAAAGCCATTTGCTTAGATCAAACCTATGGTTACTTGTTATGAAAACACACCTTGGTGTACCTCAAAATCATGTGCTTCCCTTTGCCCTCTCCATATGCAAGGAGATTGAAACATTCTGGTTTCACTTTTTCATAAAGCACAATTTCCTCCTACACCAAAACTCTAGGAACTTTGCTTTGGTCTAACTAAAGCTAGATAAACATCGGAAGAGCAAACCACATTTTGATAGCCTGTTTTACAAACACAAACAATATATATAATTCTAAAGTTTAAATTGGAGAGAGGTGAAGACATACTTTGCCTGGGTACAATTTGGTTTAGGACTGGCTCTGCTATTTGTCATCAAACTCCTGACTGTGAGAGAAGGGTTAAATCTTCCTTTTCCATGCCTTACACACATGCACAATGAAATAAAATTATATAGGAAGTCAGACTATCAGCACAGTAAATTGTTCCTGAGCCCTGCCTTAGTCTGCATCGTATTTTTAGTTTATTATCCATGTAATGCAAATATACACAAGTTGAAAAAACACATAAATGTTAAAATTTAACTCCAATGGGGCATGAATGTTTAGTACCATATTCTTGTTACGCAAGGATTTACAAAGCATGGTTGGTTTCATAACTACGTTGCTACTTTCAGCAAACTTAATTTCACAGTACACAAATATTTTGCCTCGCCTCTGTCTTTAAGGGCAAAAACTGAGCATTTTTTTAACAGCTTAAATTTATGCCAGAGCTTTGTTTTCAGTTCCAGGGCTATATCCAAAAATGTGTGAAGAAACCTGTATCTTTGTATGTGCAGGGTGCATTTCATATATTGAGGAGAAAAGCATTAATGGCTATTTTTGTGACGTATTAAGTGGAAGTTTGTTTCAAAAGAAATAACTGACCATGCTGATAATTGGGAACACAGGTTGAGAGCTGAAATGTGCATGTTACACTGATTCAGCACATGAAGCTAACAGGGCGGAGCCTAGAGGGCAGGCCCATGCAGGGCTTGTCTTAGGCCTAGGGCAAGAGTCTTGTCCACGAGACGCAGCACCTCATCTGATCTAACGCTACATGCTAGTACAGTGGACACTCAGGTTGTGAACGTGATCCGTGCAGGAGGCACATTCTCAACCCGCAGCGTTCTCAACCCGCAGTGCCGCATCTGCGCATGTGCAAAGTGTGATTTTGCGCTTCTGCGCATCTGCCAAAACCCGGAAGTAACCCATTCCGCTACTTCCGGGTTTCGGCGCATCCATAACCCGAATAAACACAACTTGAAGTGTCTGTAACCCGAGGTATGACTGTACGTAGTAACACAGGTCCATATTTTACTATTGAAGCCTTGCAATGCATATGGACAAGCATAACCATTTCGCCCATTAAGTCCCCAGTTGGCTGTAAGGCCCGGGACATTCTTAGCATGACAGTGCAAGTCCGGCAGGCCCCTGGCACCACCACCCCCAGCCAGCTTAGCCTTCCAATGCCTAGGACAAGTATACCCAGCTGCTCCCCACCCCAGTATGGGCCTGCCAGAGGGCATTTCTTCTTT